AAAGTGCAACAGTGATCATAGTGGCAAAAGCATACACACCGAGCACGGATGGGCACACATCTCCCTCCCGTGCCACCATCTCGTTGCAGCGCGATTCATACCTGCGGGAAGATGATCAAGGCAGGTCGCCTTGCTCTAAAGCGGCTGCTTGAAGGGCTAAAGGAACTGTGGCATCAACGTGCACCTGAGGGTGCATTCGCATACGGCGCATTGAAAAGAAAACGCAACCCTCATAGGGGCACGGAATGACAACGTCATGAACAGCGCCTGCAGCAGTGGAGCAGGAAGCAACAAACCACACACACACACACACACACACACACACACACACACACACACACACACACACACACACACACACACACACACACACACACACACACACACCCACCCACACACCCACACCCACACACCCACACCCACACCCACACCCACACCCATACCCACACCCACACCCACACACACACACACACACACACACACACACAACACACACACACCACACACACACACACACACACAACACACACACACACACAACACACACACACACACACACACACACACACACACACACACACACACACACACACACACACACACACACACACACACACACACACACACACACACACCCACCCACCCACCCACCCACCCACACGCACACGCACACGCACACGCACACGCACACGCACGCGCACGCGCACGCGCACGCGCACGCGCACACGCACGCACACACGCACACACGCACACACGCACACACGCACACACGCACACACGCACACACGCGGACACGCGCACACGCGCACACGCGCACACGCGCACACGCGCACACGCGCACACGCGCACACGCACGCACACACGCACACACGCACGCACACACACACGCACGCACACACACACACACACACACACACACACACACACACACACACACACACACACACTTCCAATCGCCATGACTTCCCTATGAGAACCGGGCACCACAAGCAAACTCAACATCCCCGAGGCACAGCACAGTTTATTTGCTCTGACTTTGTGCAAGAATTAGGCACTTGAGGAATCAGTGGCCCTACATAACATGGCAGAGCATCGCACCACCCTGAGTCGAAAGACGAAGCTTCGCGAAGCAGTTGTGAGGCCACGGCAGTGGCCAAAAAGCCCGTACAAGTTTGCATCACATCGTGACCTGCAAGTTCGAGGAGAATCATCGGCGATGGGATGCCATTGTGTGGTTGCACAACCCTGGCCGATTTGTGAAGATTCTGCAGCTGGGCAGCTGACTGTGCATGATGTACTGCGCCTCTGTACATCAAGCTTGGGGCTTGTCGAGGTTTTACGCCCGTTCACATAAGCGCCCTTTTCTTCAAAACTCTCGAAACTGTACCACGAAAAGCTTGGGGCTTGTCGAGGTTTTACGCCCGTTCACTCAAGCGCCCTTTTCTTCAGAACTCTCGAAACTTTACCACGAAATGCCCCACAGAGATGTGCTATTCCTCAAAGACTGGTCACGGGTCGCACGGCTGTCTATCAACTTTATACAGCCACCTTGCTGTGAAAGCAGCCATTTGTACTTGCGGTTACTCACCTGTCATGGATCTTCCTGCAGATTCCGGCATGGAATTTCAAGAGCAGAGAACCTTGGAGCTGGTCTGATTTAAGCATATGTAGGGTCCGAGAGATGCACATGCTAGCACCAGCAGCAGCAGCCGGTGCTAGCACACTTTCAGATTGGTGCTGCCAGGATACCACGTGTGCCACCTGCCAGAGCGACGGCTGGCATTCAGCTGCAGCTGTCGAAGTACGACTTCCAATTGACGGCCATGAGCTTGTGAACCACAAATGGTCATGGACGTCCTCTGATGCAAGGCACCTCTTCCACCAACCATGGCTGACCGCTGTACGCATAATGCCTGCAACAAGATGTGGCCCCAATTCTCTTCGAACAGTCTAGCGGATCGGATTGTGGAAAACCCATGGCCCCCAGTTCACGGCATTGTTGTTTACAGTTGTGGAAATGTTGCCGGGTGGCGCACGGGCGCACAAAAGGGGTTGGGCTGTACAGACAAGGACAGCATGCTACCCTTTCGCGGCTCAAGTCCCAGCCGTGCTCGGTGATGAGTTCGCAACCTTCACTGCGTACCACTACGACAGTCGCCAATAGTGTCCCCGAGCCTTGCCGAGATACGCCTAACTTTTCTGACCACCCTTGTAGACATACAGTGGGCATCAGGCTTGAGGCTGCAGATTAGGGTAGTTGCGGGGGCCAACAAAGCTTCGCCTGGGACCGACTCTCGTGACCCCGGGAACTCATTAGTTTCAGGCTGCCTGTTTCCCATGGAGCACTCGATTTCTCATCAGAACCAGTCTACCGGCGTAATACTCCGCAGGCAGCCGGGCCTGCAATGCATGAAGCTCGCAGTGACGGTGGAGCAGTACAGCATGTACAGGGACGTTGCCTGACGTGCACCACTGCTGCAAGCCCATTCGGCCTAATCCGTTCTGTGCACTGCCAGGCTATGCTTACATCGAGCATGGTCGATATATCGGTCAGTCATGGGACGAACCGCACATCTTGCAGCATTTAGATGGGCACTGAACTCTCTGCTGGATCTGGTCTGGGATAGGAAAAGAAAGGTATATGCATACATGTATATACATATATAGCCACTTTTGCTGGATGACATGAGCCTGCCATTGAGGGCGACTCAGTGTCCACAACTCCACAAACCAAGCCCGCTCAATGTTGGACTTTTGGGGTTGATATTGATTGGACTGTTGGAAATGTGGACTTACTGAGCGAAGGGTACACTTCTACGAGCACAGGCCCCGCATAAACAAGAACCAAAACGCGAAGGACTCCTGACTTGCCTGACATGCTTGGTTCTTGATTCTTAGTTCCCCGGGCAGCCCAGGCGCCCTTCCTAGGGTTTTTCTTAGACTCCCGATGAGTTTTCGACTCGGCCCCGGAGAGCCAGGAGTCAAGGTTTGTGGCGGGCATCTTGCTAGGCCACACGCAGCAATGGGAGTTCTGCGAGCCGATTATTTTACAAACAGCTCGGCTTTGATACCAACCCTTGTCGCAACAGGCCACCCAGGCCTGCTACAAGCCTTGCGTTTATGACGTGCTCCCACTTCAACACGCAAGAGCCCACCATCAATCAGCATCGATTCTTAACACAGACTAGCATGTTTTTGCCTGTGATTCAATCACGGTCAAGACCCTGCCCCCGATTGAGACACACGCCGGGCCTTCAATGGCTGCTTTCGTGAAAGAACTCCTCGGATCAGTTCGGCCGGGGAGTCGTTCGTGCCGCCGTGCATCTGTCACATTGGTCACGGCCATGCGACTTGCGACTTAGAAACTAAAAGGACAGCCCACGAAGAAATCGAAACACACAGTGGCGCCGGCCGCATGTTTGAGACGACCAGTGTCAACGACTGCGTCCATGACTGCCACTCTGAAAGCTCTGTCCTGCTACGCGCCTGGCACCGCTGCTCACGCATGAGCCAGAAGGCCCGCGCAGTCTTGTCAGGATCAACACACGTCAGCTTCAAGGATCGCACGATGGTGACTCGACAATGAGGTGCCTGCAAGTCAGAGTTGCGCTGCAGCTGCTTGCCGAGGACAGCGTTGACCCATCCTTCTCGCTTCGATGCTTTTGGCAGGCTTCTCTACAATCTGCTGAGTGCTTTTGAGGGCCTTTTCAGACTCAAGTCGCTGTTGGGACAAGAATCCCTAAAGTCAGCCTAGCATCGCTTCAGCTGCTCCGTACTGTTTGCGCTTGCAGTCGAGGCTGCCAGGTGATCTGGGTCCTTCGATGCTGAAAATACAAACATTCTTCAACGTTAGTCCGTGGTGCCGGCCTGCTAGAGCCCCATGTGCGAGAGCCTAGGCCAGATCTGAGCCTATGGGTCTCGATACAGAATTGTTTAGCCTGGCTATGTTGCTCGACCGGCCGAGCCTCAAAACGTTGTTAATTCGGGCAAGAGATCGTTCACAAAAATCAGTAGGGTCGGCCAACTTTTCATACACACGACGAATGTCCTAAGGCATGACTCGATGACAGGTCATGATGAGATTCCTGCCGACCCAAGATGAACAGGTGGAGATTTTGGAAAAGTTGGCGTGGTCAACGTTCAACTTAACCCAAACCCCAAGTAGCAATGCCAAATGGCGGGCACAAAGCAGAGGATATGGGTACATGGGGGGTTCCAAATGTTAGATATACATATATAGATATTATGTATACAAATTTACTTATCTATTTGTACTTATGTGCATACATACATACATACCTACCTGCATGCGTGCGTACGTACACACACCACATATGCGAACCGTCTAATATTTACACGCGGAGAACGCCGGCCTCTTGTGATTCCTTAACCCATAACCGCCCACGGCCTGCGCACGTCTACATTTACTATCTGTGACTTGTTTGACCCCGTCCGATCGACATCCGATTGACAACCTTGTATTCACACATATTCACACACTGCCCAAGACTCCTTGTGCCAGTGCTCTGGGTGCAGCGAGGCCATGCGACGCTGCACACCCCCTGGTGAAAGGACATTGAACTGTCGGGCAGTATTGCGGCTACATCCCTAGTCATTAACCCAGCTGATGACACGAAATCTCGTGAGGATGAGCAGTCTGAAATAGCACCAAGCATAACAAGCAAGATGTTGGTGACTCCTGCCGCAAGATACCGCAGTCTGCATTTGGCCGCCATGGCTAGGAAGCTGTGTTGCCTTGCCCATAAACGTTCCGTGGTCAAGGCCTTGAAACTACTTTAGAGCACTCGACCTAGCCTTCAATAACATTGACATGAGAATCGTGGAGAGTCTACTCTAAGACTACTTGTTTCTTGTTGTTGGAAACTTGGAGGGACCGAACCGCTCCAAACAGGAATCTCAAGGCGTCAATCGGTCGTGCACAGAAGTATCATGCCCCTTGCTGCTGTCCGGCATGCACCACATAACGGTTGCATGCATGCCTGGAACTCCGCCATGCGATCTTCGACCTTACCGAGGCGAAGCACACTGCACCGGCGTGCAGCATGACCAATACAAATGTCGGTATTGAAACTGTGTCAGCAAGCTTTGTCCGCACTTGTGAAAAGGTACTTCAATCATGTTGCAAGGACTCCTCGGCAAGTCGTACAAGAACGCATTGGGCAAACCCACCTGCTTCAGCAGCGCAGCCTTGCGTTCCTTGGCATTTGCAGGTCAAGCAAGGATTGCAAAGTCCAAACATCTGTCGATCTCTGAACAATACTGAATAGCAGCCCACTGCTGTGTCAAGATAGTGAACAGAGCCATGCAAATCACTGTTGCGTAGGAACGCTCCAAATTGTTCTGGGACATCTGCGATGACCAAGCGCACGCGGTCCGTCACAAGGTTTGTGGGGTGGCGCGTGCCGTGGCAACGCTTCACCTCAAAGCCAAGCGATAATTTGCCGCTGACTTCATTTTCAAGAGGTTTCTTGTTCGACCAGCCTGACTCCAAGGTTGGTGAAGTGACCCAAAGAGCCTGGGGCTTTGGCCATGCTTTGCGCCTGTTCAATGCGCTGCATCTTCACAAGCAGCGACTGCGAGGTGTCCTGGCAAAAGCTAGCCATGCTTATCCTCCCACAGAAAGCCACTTTAAAAGGTTCGTGCCAAAAAACGGAAAGAAAATTCGATTCAGCTGGGTTCTCGTTTGGAGGTGCTGTTGGGCACGAGCTGGGATCCAGTGCCCATACCCTACCGCGGGTGTACGAAGGCAATTTCGAAAACGATGTGATCACCCAACAGACGCCGTCTATCAAAGAGGTCTGCCATGAGCAAAAGCCCGCGGGCGTTAATCGCACAGCTTTGTGCAAAAACAACGTTTCTGAGCACAGCCAGCTGCATCCTTTTCTCAAGCATTTGTAATCATTTGTAGAAGGGCATGGTTTCATTTACCTGCCTTCCGCGAAAGAATTTCGAATCACACCCAGAGATTCCGTATGGCACGAGGGCCTAAAGAAAGTCCGGTAAACTCGTTTAATGCGCTTTGGTTCTGCATGGCGGCGGATTTCGAATTGGCCTTGGTATTGAGGATTCGACATTGCCAGGGCTAGAGCCAATGAGGGCACGAGCAGCCCGAAGCGTGGACCCCTCCTGACTCTTCCAAAACAGCCCTCGGGTCTCCACTGATGCCGTGCCTGCGTGTCCTTGAGGACTGCCAGCAGCAAAGGATCCTCCTCTGTGGGACCCTGCCGCGGAATGAGCAGTGGCTCACTAAGTCACTAAGCCACTGGGGTTGGAATGGGGTTTGAACCTTTGAAAGACAAGCTACAGTGTGCAGGTACGTAAAGCACGAGCCACAGCTCTGAAGGCCTCATCGCTTGCTTTTGGTCTTCGCACCTGGATGCAATTTACAGGGGTCCTACCCACATTCAGTGACATGGCGGCAACTGAAAACCTGGTAGAAGTGGAATTCGACATGGGTACCGTCACAAAACGGGGTGTTTTGCATGGGCCGAGGTGGACGACTTCCGAACAAAGAAGATTCTCTTGGTTGGGGAGATGCTGTCCAGGTAAGTGCAAGATATCACCAAGAGCCACATTCGAAACGGTTCGGGTGAAGGCGCAGCAAACCCCGATTTCGAATTTGGCAATTTGCTTCCCCCTTCATGCCTCCAACAAACGGGAAAGGTTATAGGTTTGGGTGGATCCTATGTGGGCTTGTTGTTGCTTAGCTTCCCCACTATAAGGCTCATCAGTAATTCATCTGGGCAGATCCATGTCAATCTATGTAGGCTTGTTTTTGCTTGGCTCCTCCGGCTCCAACAGCAGGCATGGGGAGATGGGTTCTGTTGCGTACATGCGAAGTAATATTAGTCACTCTGTCTGCTGCAGACCGGCATGTTTGTCTTTGTTCTAGTTGCTGGTTTCCAGACTTCTCAAGACTCTTGAGAGCGAAGGGTGTCGGCCCCAGGAGAAATAATCTTTGATTGGGATTGTCATTAAGCTCCACCGGCGTCACTCCGAGCAGGTGCAGGAATCGTGCAATATGGACCAGCTCGTGGAAAGCCGGTAACAGGAAGGAATATCTATAGCTGCTAGTTGCTCTGCTAATTCGTCCCGACTCTGCTGATATCCTGGGCTCGCGGCGCTGACAGGGGTAGTGTCCTCACAAAAGGTGCGACGACATTTCTGAACAAGGCAGTGTGGCAGCGCCAGTCGAATTCTCGGCCCACGGCCGGTGCAGTGGGCAGCGCGCTAACCTGGTTGACCGGGCTCGCTGGATCTGCCGTCTCCTGCATGTCAAAGGCAGTGTAGTCCGTTTCATTCGCTTGCCGTGCATTCTCCTTTGCGAAAGCAGTGTTTTACCACGGTGAATCTCAACCACCATCGCTGAGCATGGATGACTCCGACCAACTGAGAACGCAGCAGGACGTGCGATGATGTGTGTGAATTTGATTTTACAGACGTGGCACCGGCAAATTCTTACCTGAACTTGAGTAGTCCTCCACCGACCGCGGGGAGAGTGTTGGAGACCTGGGCTCAGCGAATCTATCAGTCCACACTGAGCTGTGTGCTTCGTTTTTGGGTTAGCAGCAGACGACAAATTTTGTCTTGTATTCACGGTGACAAGCACTGCTTAGTGTCTGCAGTCCATGCTTTCGAATGCACGCGAACACTCAGCATGCATCGCGATTGCATCACATGCGTTGCCCGCCTGCTCGATGCCTCTTCGCCAGAACTTCCAAGACAGCGCAAAGTCTGCAGCCCGTCCATCATGTGCATCGAGCGCTTCAATCCAATGGAGGGCTTGTGCAAGACCCTGGGTTCGCGAACGTGTGGAGCTTCCAAAGGAACAGGTAACTAGCCATCTTCGGCTTGCGTCTGCTTCAGGTTGGAGGCTGTTGCAGGCTTTGACCCAGAAGAACGACAACTAGGGCAAGCAAGGTTGAGAGAAGAACTTGCACGAGTCCGGATCTTCGCGCTCCAGCTTCCAAAAGATGTCCCATAGACAGACCAGAACCAGGGAATCTTATTCATGCAGGAATCGCCCTGACTGTGCTCCCGGTGAAATTCTTCAAGTACGGTGGAACTACGGTGGATCAAGGGAGACAAAGAGTCATCCGAGTGGCTGCGACACTGAGGTGGTCAAGTCAGCGATGGAGCCTCTGCCCGGCAGCGGGAGCTCCTCTCAGTGGCGTGTATGCAAGTGTATTAAGTTAAAGGAAGGCGTCTTGTGCGGGCGTCTTCTGGCATGCTGACGAGGTGGTCATTCGCAACGTCTCCACACGGCAAAGCTTCGTGGTGCAGTCGCCTTTCTTCTGTTTCTAGCGGGCCTTTATGACTGTTCCGGGGGGACCTAATCAGGCTCGCATCTTCCGGGTTTCGTTTCGATTGGGCTGGCCCGAGCAGAGAGCATCTGCGTCTTCTGTTTGTTTCAAAGGGCATCGGCAGAGGGTCCGCCTCCTTCATCTACGCACCCCGGTTTGAAAGGAGCGTTGAGTCGCCGACTCTTCGTGAACCCAGCCAGGGACTTTTCTGTGCTGGACTCTTGCTCTTGCGCTCGTGGCTTTGTTTTCAGCTGCTGGGACGGAAGCTGACATGGAGGAGGGTGCAAGATCCCTCTATCTGTTTGTCTAACTCTCTCTCTCTCAGTCTCTCTCTCTCTCTCTCTCTCTTTCTTTCTTCCTTTCTTTCTTTGGGGCATGGGGGTCGCCCCCCGCGCAAGTGCGCGCCCCGGTCCCGCGTTGGCTCGGCATCTGCTACCACTCTCTCTCTCTCTCTCGTGAGTGCCGAGGCATGTGCTGTTTGGTTGATGCTCTTCATGCAGTCTCTGGTGTGACTGGACTTTGGGGCTTCGTCTGCCAGCAGCCTCTTTGCAGGCAAATCTTTTCAGCAGGAAACGTAGCCGCAGGATCTGGTCAAAGTGAATGTAAGATGGATGGTGTAAGCATGATTCTGTGTGTGGGAGTGGCAATGCCTAACTTCCTTGGGCTGGAGGAAAGGATCCTCATGGAATTCGATTCGTAGGAAACTAAGTAAGTGCCGCCTCCAAAGGCGGTTCCGCGGACCTTCGCCGCGCAGGCCTGCAAGGGCTCTAACACAAGCTGGGCGACGACATTCTACGAGATGATCGGGCGCTCTTGCGGTCCACTATTCACCACGTGAAGCAGCCCGGCAGCCCTGCTAAAAGGAAAGGCAGAAGGAATGAGATCGTATCCAACATCGTGCTTCCAAGAATGTCTCTGGACTTGAGGCCACCATGGATGCCTCGGCGAGGTACAGAAGTCCGTTTCCCCACTTTTCGATGCGTCCTAGAAGCTACCCTGCCTTGGCCGAAGTAAAATGGAAAAGGACTGCTGCGCAAGCCAAGCCTTCGAACACACCCGTACAGCCTTGGTGAAGCCTCATGTGGTACTTCATAGCGTGGAGACGGCTGCATTCGCGAGTCCTCCAGGGACAGTCCCCGACTGTTCACATGGCCATCTCTAGTTGCTAGGCCGGGTCCATCCCAGGTCCTTCAATGGGTTCACCGCATACTGTATGGCCACTTGAGACACAATGCCCAAAGTACCTCGCCATTCGGAAGCACGAAGCTGTCCTTGCCGCTACCATGTGCTTTCAGCTGGCTTGCATATGTCTTGCACGTGACTTATGGTACAGTTACTGTTCGCACCGGATGCGAACAATGCCCCTGGCTGAGTAAGCCTTCCCCAAAATGCTTTGGAGCGTGCCTGCTGGCAGTCGAACATGCTGCGGCTGTGACGCCTGAGAAGGCTGTGATGGTGCAGCCGATGGACTTGAGGGCAGCGCTGGCCTGGTTGCCAAAACTAGCGCAGAAACATGCGCATGCGTTTCTGATGTCTCAAAGGCACATGGCTCCAGTGCTGCTCGTTCTGCTCATCATGTGCGCGTAGCTGCTTTGTAGAGGCTTGCCCATGTTCCGTACACCTCAGTTCGGCCATTGCTAGCAAACGAGACCAGCACTTATTGATGCTTTCGAAGAAAACATCAGACTGAAAGACCCTCATGTTCTGGCAAAGGCTAGAGATTTTCAGACCGCAACATACCCCTCGAAAGAGCACAAAGAAGTCCCGCACCCGAAGGCTCTGAAGCTTTGGAAGCTGCTCTTCGGTTCAAGGGTTTGAGATGTTTGAGGGTTTGTGGGCCAGCCCTGCATGATATCTGGTGCAATTTGAGGCAGTTGGCCCCAAGATATGCTGCCACATCAGGCCTTGCTGCTGCACAGGTACGGGTGACATCATTCACTGGACACAGCGACGGCAGCAGCATTTCCGGAACCCGCACCTTGTAGTAAGGCCTCCACGGACATCAGTACAATGAATGAAGAAGCGTACTCCGAATACTTTCAGCATCAACGTTACGTTACTGATGCAGTTCTTCTGTCTCCAGAACGGAGCATAACTACGCACAACAAGTTACTGTGTCAGACAGTAGACAGCGCAAACGAGACACTGCAGCACAGGTGAGCAGGCCATGACAAGTGACGCTGCAAAGCCATCTTAGCCAACCAAGCTCAATGTCAACTGCGTGAAAGTGGTGGCGGGTAGCAGTGGTGGCAGACCAACGTTTTGCAGTGCTGTTGCAATGAGATGGTGTGATTGGCATGGCAGGATGGTACAAACCGTTTGCGTAGCTGAGAAGGCGTGGTGCAAGGGACACAAAGAAGAACACATCGGATCGGATGGCGCCTCTGTGCTCGACTGTTTGGTCGGGAGGTGCTTGGGAGCCGCCCATCGCCCTGCTCGGGTGCAGGCATGCAATGCCAATCCTGGCCAAATCCTACGTTCTGACCCAGATAAATAAGGCACTGAACAGAAGAAGCAAATCTTCAAGGGGCGGGGTGCCTTGAAAAAACCATAATTATTTAACTCCGAAGACACTCCGGGCACATTCTGGGGTTGGGTTGGGCACTCCAGGTACGAGCGAGGAGTAGACTGCTGGGCGAGGAGAAGAGTTGAGTTTAAAATCTAACAACCCCACACCGAGGGTGGGAAACAAACCGCCCTTTCACCGAATGGTGGTACCATGTGCGCCTAGACTCCTGAAACAACCTGCAAGATGCTCACAAGGTGCTTGAAACATCTTGACCCATCCTGAAACCCTTGCTGACCTTTGCGCGCAGCTCGGGGCTGGAGTGGCTCATCCATGCAGGCGAAGTAGAGCTGCTGATGCTGCGTTGACCCGGAATGCAAAATCTGATGTGCCTTCTCTGAGCGCCTTACGTCAAATGCTGTGCCTGCCTACCTGGCCTACCTCGCCCTGTAGTTTGTCTGACCGAGTACAGTATCCGGGCCAATGGACTTACTCCATCCTACTGGTGAACTGTTTGCTGTCATCTGTCCGAAAAAGGTCAGGAATTGGCTTGTGCAATGCATGCAACGCCTTTCAAGCCGCGCGGCTTTGGAACACCGGGGATGCAGAATGCAGAAAATATGTGCTTGGCATCCTTCGCACACGCGCAAACACTGAGTTGCACGTGGGCTGCGACATACATGGTTGCCCGCAGAGATGAAATGAAGATCTTTGACTGTTCGATGGTTCGCTAGCTGTTAGCCTGGGCCTCCTATCAGAACGATCTTGAGCTGCATGCATTTTCATGGGAGAACATCAATTTCGAGCTTCAGATCCCTGTTCTCGAGAAAGCTGTATCACGTCATGCCGACTTGTGCAAATGGAAGCCCGGGACTACCACACTGCGCTTGAGCATGATGTCCATTGGAGGGCTCGAATTAGGTGGTCATGAACTGGAAGCCGCTTTACAAGCGAGGTTCCTCGCAAAACTATAGCATAAGTTCCACCTCTACGCAAACTTAGAACCACAGCGCATGTGTTGCAGGAGCCTGTCAGACCTCCACATGCTTACACGCTGTTGCGGGGCGAGTGCGCTGTACACAGTGACATAGAGTCACCATGCCCCACATAGCATGATTCACTCAAAAGATGAAGATAAACATGCAAAGAAATCACAGAGGATAGACACATCTCAGAACAGGTGACAGGTGCACCGGCTTCGCCCATGTGCGGAGCGAAGAACAGGGTGGATCAAGTGTGGACCACACGAAAGTTCGCTCACCCAGATTATACTTCTCCTGCACCCGCCACTTCGCCTTTGCACTTGGTTGTGACGGCTATGACATGAAGCCGACCCGCATATGATCGTTAACCCTGGGCAACATTGCCCGGTAGAGTTTCCCAAAAGACTTGGTTCCAAGATTTTCCAAGCCACGCATCTTGCGCTCTCCACGAGGCTGCCACAAGATCTGCGCGATGAGCCCAAGAAAGCCGAGGCCTGCTCATGAATTTCAGAAGTCTTTTAGTCTTTTGAAACAGTGTGGTGAACATTCATGTCAACGGAACTCCTGCCTATGACAATGACCACGTTGATGATGTGTCGATTCAGCAGTTCGGACTCAACCTTCGAGGCTTAAACAGTCTTGTACTGAGGACTTCCTCATACAAGCATGGACAAGATGGATGCTCGGGCGACAGGAATGAGAAATTGCAACGCGTTGCATGCTGCAGATCCGGATGCTCTCTGGAGGCCTCCGCGCACTTCAGCAAGTTCGTAGCGCAAAGCCACGCAACCCAGGCGCCGAAGAAGGCGGTGATAAACATGATGAGGTGCTTCACCCAAGACCTGTGGTCGTCTCGGATGCAAACATGCACTCGGAATGCATATATCAGAGTGTACCACAAGCAGTTCAAAATTGTGCGATACATGCCGCCCAGCCGAACTTCGCAGGCTCCAAGTTGAAGAGATCAAAGTGTCCGTGAAGAGCCCGGAAACTCGTGCTAAACGGTACATGCAGGTTACGTTCAAAAGGCTTCTGCTCATGTGCCCAATGCATCTTTTGAATCTTTCGGTCAGGTTTTGCTCAACGTTGTCAACGCCACAAGAGAAAGGCGACAGTTGTTCCAATGCTGGCTGCCCGTGGGGTGCGGCTGACGTCATCGTACTGCTTAGCGACTTACCCATTTCAATAACTTTCAGTATGCAGCCGCTGAGTTGCAATGCTTCTGTTTGCGAGGCCAATAGAGGGAATCCCCACCAGAGCAAATCGAGCAAATCAAAGCAGAGAGACAGGCGAGCCCTGTAAAACTACTCAAAATGGATGTCAAAATGTTCTTCCGTCACTTTCGAGCCCAAGGCCTCCCCGAGAGCCCTCACAAACGAGAACTCCCCCGGCCTCAGCTTGTCGCTGCTTCGACAATACATATATAATTCGATTCTTCTGCACATGTGCCTACTTGCCTTACTTGCGAAATGGAGGATGTACACTAAAAAACACAGTCACAGTCCAAGAAGGAGCTTCTGCCAATTCAAGCTGGCCCGGTGTCTGTGTGAATGTGCGCACAGGCAACACAAGCAACGTGTCGCACAGGTCAGAGCGATGTGTTTTTGCAGCCGATAATAGCCGATATATACTCGCAGTGCATGATGGCCTGGGTGATGCGGACATGCATCACACACATATGCGCAAAGTGCTCCGACCGACTCCCGAGAATCGGCGATTGGCGGCAGTGGCGAGTTAAGTTTCGTACGAGGGGGGGTACCGAGCACATTCTGAAAACACAAAGAAACAAGCGCAAGCTACAACACTACCAGCCTGCACAAGTACCCCGCTAGCATGGCAAGCGGGACTCCGAGGGTGACACCTGCAGGGCACGAGGGGTTCGAGCATTCTCGTGAGCAGCCTCTCGCCAGTGCCTCCAAATTGGTCCCAACCCTTGTAGGCAGGCCCAAATGAATTGCTCAGTGGCCTCATGACTTCCAAAAGAACGTGCCGAAGGAGCATTGAGCAACAACTCACGAAGCATGTGTGCACAAGATTGCACAAGCATTCTGGCCTCTGGAGAGCATACACGAGGATGCCTGCGATAGGGTTTACACATGACTTCGCATGATTTGACATGATTCCACTTCCCGACTTCCAAGTTGCACATGATGCCCATGGCTGATGTGGCTTATCAGGCTTACCCAGGCTGCCAAAGTGTATTCCAGACAAATCTGCAAAAGTCTGGTTTCGTGGTGCACTGTAGGATGTCTATGTGGGGGAAAGAGCTTATGAAGAACCAAACGCTTGCAAAGCTTGCCTGTCACAGCAAGTCCCAGAAACACGCCGAAAACAATGCCCAGCACCTGTCATGTTCAGCTGATCCTTTGAGACATGTTCTCACAAGCCATGAGCCCTACTTTCATGAATTCGGCGTGGAACTGATCACAAGAGCGCGTTCTTGTTTCTCTCTCCGCAGGATCGTGATGCATTCCCCTGTTTCGACTAAACCACATTCTTTTGCTGGTGTTTGCATCTTCTTGTTTCAAGGCCTACCAACTCAAGCAATCTTGTAAACAGGACAGTCCTGCCTTTTCAATGCTTTGCCTGCACCTCTGGGCAAGCACCTTGAATCGAGAATACTGGGGATGCTTCCATCGTGGCAGCTTGCCCACACAGGTGGCCACATGCCTGAGGCATCAAGCTTGTCCCCGCAAGACCTGCCATACTGAGCGCTGTACCGCTGCCAAAGTTCCCCAGAGCACGCAGCATACCAGCACGATCACCTGATCCAAAAGTAGCAGGGCACATGCGGAGCATGCGTTCAGCTGGCTTCTGCCATGAAACCAGTTACAACAGATTGCTGCGGAATTTGCAATAGACATCCAAACAGCAGAACGCAACTGTTTCGAGACAGGCTTCCTTGCGCATGCATGGTGTAGAGATCCTAGCTACCACATATCGTCTTGGACTATGCGAAGATTACCCTAGATTGCACTCATATGCCAGACTGGCAGCCGGGTCTACTGACTGAAAGACAGAACCAACAGAAAATTAAAGGGACTCTCTCTCTCTCTCTGCATCCCGAAGGTCCCAATTAAAAGGACTGTCTTGCTGGGTCTTTTTGCAGGTTCATCTGAGATCGGCGTGGCCTTCTTCACTGTTGTGGCCTCGTCTGGCACCAAGTTCACCCAGTGCGAACCAATGAGTGCCTGAGAGCGGATACAGCAAACGGAAGCACCTGTCAGCACAACATGCTAGAAAGACAATGGAGATGTTGAGAAACCGTTGAGCACCAATCAACTCCGAAACCTAGGTTTAGCATGTAGAGCTGTGGCTCCACCTGAAAGATCATCAAACGAATGGGTCTTAGTGCATCTGCTCAGTATCTCGATTACTGCCTTGTGGGCCTCTTGCCACTGGCAAAGGGAGGAGTGCCAAAGACGATTACCGGGCGGACGAATTTTGTGCACAATTCGACGGCAGCTCTACAGCAGACGCTTGTTCTTGCAGGTGCAACACGCGGTGCAGATGCACGGTGCGTTGGCGATACATCCGGGAATTCCGATCAACCGAAAGACTTCCGGACAGCAGAGTTGGAAAGCCAGCAGCTCAAGAAGTGCACGAAGAGATCACGTACAACGAGCATGCAAGCATTGGGACGTACCCTAAACCTAAACTAAACCATTGGTGGCCGTTCCCGGTGGGTCTACAACCGGGCGCCGACGAGCATGAAGAGTGAAGTTGATACACCCTATCAGGGCCTCGCAGCCTCAAGAGACTCAGGGCCCGTTGAAAGTGGAAATCTCATGAATACTAGATGTAACCAGACAGCATCTGAAATTAAAACGTCCGCCTCCAAGCCGAACCCAACAAGGAAGGCAAAGAATGGGAATGCCACCTGTCCAGCGCGAAGAACACCATCACCACCTTTTGATGTGTGTATTCTGCTACTGGGTACAAAATTCCGTTTATGTTCCTCCAATGCACGGGCGACAATTCTGGCTAAGCACATAATGTCAGCAACTGCACATACTAGACCTAAGTGGCAGTCATGCAGGCAGCCACGCCTTGTAGATCCGGTATCCAAAGAGACTAACCGCCTCATGCAGTGTGCCGTGCGCAAAAGGAAAATGTCCATATGTGCATGCGGACATTGGGTATAGTCACTGCTCACGCATGCTCCGAAGTAATAGGCTCAAGCATGTTCGGCCAAGATTGGTGCACCAAGTTGCCAGGCCAATGGCACACAGAATAGACAGGAACACAGTCGCGGATGCATCACACACCTGAATGTCGATTCGAGCATCGTCAGGCAAGCTCGAGCGCACAGCTCGGAATATGCCCAGCAACACCGGCCTCCCCTTCCAATGGAAGGAAGACCTCGTGCACTGCCTCGTTGAATGACATTTCTGGGAGACCTCAGTTATGGTTCAACAAATGTTTGTCCTCTTTCTTTTTTACAGCATCTGTGCTCTTGCGTCAACGCTGAAGCACATCCAAGCGCGATGCGCAAAAACAGTACACTCAGTACACGGGCTGTGCTCTTTGCTGACACAGATTTGGACAACACAGCTGCGAGCAGACTCGTGCAGAGCACTTGGCAGATCAGCATAATCAGCATGCGAAACCATGAATGAAGACACTTTCCAACAAGCCACTCGCCATCCACAAGTGCCGTGCTTATGTGTGTAGAAAACGTTGTTCAGAGGAAGAGTGGCTGCGCGCAATTCTTCCATTGTGCAAAGGTCCAGTCGGTACCTACAAGGTGAAGCTAAGCAAACAAACAAGCACACGCATGCGCATGCCCGGGTCTTCGTCCCTTTCGAGCACAGACTTTTCAAGAACAACTCCGCCCCTCAAAACCCAAAAATCGATATGAACGCTTTCTGGGCTGGCACCTGTTTGGTTGCCGCCTGATTTGGCAGGCATGGAATGCACTGCGTCCATGGCTGCATCGATTCTGTCTGGGAGTCTAAGACGTTTAGGGGATGTGCAGCCCTGTGCAGCCTTCACCTCCTGTGCAGCCTTCACTCGCCAGGTCAACGTCTTTTTTACACTTTGCACCGTCTATCGTGCAACGCATCGCGGTGGGATCGTGAGAGCGCACGGGTCGTGCCAGAAGATCTATCGATCTACCGGCTTGACAAACTCGCATCGTGCTTCAACGTTAATGCAGGGGCGGTACGTTGCGTCAGCTCCGGATCAGGGCAGGGACGCCGCAACTACACTAAGGCATCCCTGCAGCTGCCTGCAGCAACCTTAAGTTATTGTAGGAAAAAAGGTCGCAACTGATCCTCTTCTGAATGGGCATCTGGCCGCTGGACCTCACTGTTGCGTGGATGTTTCTGAAATGGCCGGAGCCGATCCAGGACATGCATGGAGTATGAATGCGAAGCATGTGGCTTTTCAGGTTGCTCTCCCAAATGCTAGCCACAGTCCCAGCCATCACCAACCTTAGCAGCTGTTGCATCTATAATGATATGTGAACAGGCGTTGAATTATCCGCTTGTCGCTTTCTGAGACAGCACATCGCAAGCCCGGTCCGGTTCTGATTGCCAAGTCGTGCCAGGCCACCCTGACGACATTGTGCCAGAATATATAGTGACTGATCGAGGATCATGGGCAGAAACGATTGGGCTCGGAGGCACTTCCCATCCAGGTGGCACCTTGAGCTGCCACCTCGGCAAGCATCAGGATGCCAAAGGATGCACCTAGTCTCCTAACCTAAGTTAAGTGCGCCAGCCTGACAACCACCATGAAACCGGCGACTAGTACGTAATAAGTATTGTGCAGTACTCAACAAATTCGCCAATACAAAGCCGCAAAACCACATCGGCCCCGCGCTTGAGTTTCACGTGGGATCCGCTCATTCGCTTTCGCACAGTCAGTCGGCAGAGCTAGGCTTTCTCTATCCTCGCACTTTCGGAGTGCCATCACGTGCAGCAAGGTTGCGTAGAGCGCTCGTCATCCACCTGAAAGGCAGTCGACTTGCTGCATGCCCATGGTCCTTGATCTAAGGCCGCTCTCCAACGCGGGCCTTTGGTGGCAGAGCCTTTCTTGCAGCGGCCTCAGCTTCCAGGGCCTGTCGATTCCAGTACCGTGCCAGCTGCTGCTGCTTCCAGGCCTCCTGAGACTAGAGCGCATGGCATCGAGTTTTGGAGTTTTGGTCAGAGAGGAACATGTCACAGATGCATGGCTATGACTATGCCCTGAGGCTGTCATGGCTCCTGTACCGCCTGGTCTGCTATCATGGCTGCCTGTCTGGCACGCCGTGCCAGGCGGTTTGTGTAGTACTTGTACAAGTCGGCAACGCTAATGTCAGGAGCCTCGGGGTCGGGCAAGGACACATGAACAAACTGAACAAACCTCTGGGATGGGGCCAGCCTTGCCCATCTTCTCTTCAATGTCACCAGGTGGTGGACCTACAGCAGAGCAATGTGCGCAGGCTGGCAAGCGGGGTATAGAAGGCTAGAGACAGGAATGCAACCAAAAAAACACTGTCGAGGTGTTGTTTGGACTCTCGCGCTCGCACGCGGCAGGCTACTCACTACATACTACATCCAGCACATTGGCCAGCACATCAACCCTGCGGCCACCCGAAACAGACACAGCAAAAGAGTTAAGTTCAAGGAGACTGCCGAGACCCAGAGATCCTCGATGTTATATATGGAAGTTGTGGGGCCCATCGATATCCGACAAACATCATCCTGCCTTCGCCTTCCTGGTCCTCGGCTTCATCCACCTCTTTCTGCTCAGCCACCTCCGAAACAGGAGCCACATCCTCTCCTGTCGCATACCAGCGCGTATGGCAAAGCTGGCTACATCGATCGTGGCTTGAGATTTGTTGACCAATTTGTCCTGTCTGCGCTGAATTCTCAGTTCACCCGACCCGATTCCCCCTCGGGACATCTACTGCATCATGATTGCCGTTGCTATCGTCTGCCAGGGCACAGCCAAGGGGATGGCAACCTCCGCTCAAACAAATCCCTCCTTCGAAGAACCCTCGAGATGAATGGACGTGAAACTTCACATGAGACAATCAAACATTTCATTTAGCCAGTCCAGCGCCTTAGTGTGTGCCAAGTTTCCTGGTGCCTTACCAGCATGTTGATTAGTCACAAAATGATCCCGGCGGGGTGAAAGGAACTCAAAAGGCTTGCAGAAGCAACTCAGAAAGCTTTCAGGAGCTCAGAGGGCTTCGGAAGGAGCTCAGCAGCTTAATAAAAAGGAACTCAAAAGGCAGAATGGTTTTCAAGTCTCAGGCCACATTTAGCCTCGATTAGGGCTCGGAATGTCAGCTCCAGCCTCAAGCTGGATCTCAGAAAGCTTTCCTAATCAGGCAGCAAGACTCAGGCCCTGGCCTCACACTGCAGAGATTTGTGACTAACCAGCGGGACAAACTTAATTCAGGTTTCCCTGAACCACAACACGGTGGAGCGCTTTATATTATATGGTAGTTGGGCAGCTGCTGGACTACCCCTTTGAAACTTCATTTCCTGGGCCTCGATACAAAGGCTTTCGATAAGGGAATCTTAGGTTTGACGCTGCTCTGGCGGGTCCCTGGGCTTCTCCCAACCCCCCCCCCCCCCCAAAAAAAAAGGGAAGCAAAACAAAAGCACAAACATAATACAATTATAAAATAAATAAAGCCGGTGTGTTTGCAAGATTGTCAACTTTTTCTAACGGTTTTCGAAGACTTCTTTGAGGTTTCCCAAAGGTTACCTAACGATATTTCAAGAGTTTTCTGTTGCAACTTGCAAGGATTCCGGTTTGCCAAGATATTTCCAAAGGGTTTTCAAGAGTTGTCATCTTGCAAAGAAGTGGCCAAAAGACTCTGCAAATTCAAAAACAAGATGAAACTTCAAGAGCAAACCTTTCAAAACCGAAATTCCAAAAACGAAACCAGGCAAAAACAAAATTGCAAAATTGTTTAACCTTTCAAAACCGAAATTCCAAAAACGAAACCAGGCAAAAACAAAATTGCAAAATCGTTTTGTATCTAAATTTGTTTTCTGTCAGTGGAAGCTTTAGAAGCGAGAACTTCAACTAACTTACAGGGTAGTCTGGCAGCTGCTGGACTACCCCTTTGAAATTTGGTTACAAAAGCTTTAGATGCTTTGCGGGGTGGCCTAGAGACTTAAGTTTTCAAGGCCTGCTCAGGCTGAGGTCTTTGGTTTCAGACTCAGGATTTAAACCTTTGCTCAGGCTATCTTTTTTCAGATGCATGCATACCGCCGTTTTGGCGCTATCCTCGAGCTCCTTGGTGCGTTGTTGGAGCGCACCAAGGCGTACATCATCGTCGCTATTCGTTAAGAGGAGACTCCCTTTCTTTTCGGGGGTACCGACCACCCCTAAAAGAGCACACATCATGAACATCAGTGGCTCGGGCCCGGGGCATCGGAAGCAGCTGGCGACTCCGAAAATATAGCGAGCGCTGTCCCCTGTTCGAGCCCCTGCAGGCTACCAATATTTGTTGAAGGCCTTAACGATCAACGCTTTTATGAGGCAACCAACCGTACGCAAACGTCATTCATCTCAGACCGTATACCGAAAGGTTGCAAATTGAGCATCGTTCCAACATCAACTGCCAGAAAATCATTGGTTGCCATAGCCTGGTGGATGCTGAATTTTGCAGAGATCGAACCGGCAGCTACCAGCAGCATCAGAAATTACGAGTTGCCGCAGCAGAAATTACGAGTTGCCCCCGATTAGACCATCGTCGGCACAGACTCCTAAGTTGCTTTTGCAAAAATTGGATAAGTAAGTTGGAGCAGCTCCTTCTCCGGTCATCTGTGCTTTGACCTCCGCGTTCTCCGTGCCAGATTCCGTCCGCTCCTCCGCAATCTCAGGACCTTTTGCTTTGCCCAGCAGTGATGGCCCTTGGCTTTGCTGTGCTCAAAGTCCACTCAGCTTACGTTGAACTTGAGAATGCTTGTGTGTTGTGCTACCAGTCGGTCGCCCTGTCAGTGCAAAAGAATGTAGGGACCAAAGAACAGGTGACGAACCTCGGGTTCCAAGTGCGTGAACATCTTGAGGTTCACGCTTCGCCGCTCCGCAGCCACAAAGCACTTCTCTGAATATGCCTAATTTCACCATGTTTCTGAATCATTCCAGGTCTCCGAAAGTGTTTAAGGCGCCGCTGGCCAGCGTTCCGGCGACTCCCATGCCACCCAGTGCATCATTCAGCATGCCTTGCTGCCTCAGCGCGTGCGAGATCGTGCGAGTATTGCGATGGTGGTGTTAGCTTGCACCCGCCAGCCAAACTAACTGTAGTAGTGCTTTGACGATTCAGAACAGATGCGACTTCTTTCCAGCACCAATGCGGCCATCTCCAGCATGCTTGGAGCCTTTGCTGCCCAGCACGAGGCCCCCAACTGCACCAGCCAAACCGCCGAATGGGCCTGGCGCAACTCTCATCTGAATCAGCAGCGCCCCAATTGCTACCAGTACAACAACTACTACAGTTGGCTTCAGATCTGCTTTGCTCTACTGATGTCCTCACATCACGAACTCCAGCACAAGAGACCCTGAACAGCCAGTCCTCCACCACTACCTGGTTTCTTTGCAACGCCCTGCTTGTCTCGCAGCTGGTCCTCAATTTGTTCTACCTGTGCAGTCGAAAGCGGGTCGCATCCCCAATGTGGGAAAGGGAGCAAGGAAGTGCAGTAAGCTCAGTGTCTAGCCTGCGTCCGCTCCAGTTCGAATGCCGTGCTTTTGGCGCGGGCAGAAGGTGTAAGCGAAACCAAAGATGAAAGTACGTGCTGACCCTGGCCCAATTCCAAGGCAAAGGTCACCATCCGTATCACAGGCCATCAATAACATTCGGATACGCACAATCAGCCGCTATGGATGCACCCTACGCATGTTGGATAGCAATTCTTGGCGCTGTCGGGGGAACGAGATGGAAGCACAGTGACTATGCTGTGCGTGAGCAGGGTCTGAGGACGTATTTAGCTGCACCTACTGACTTGGTGTTCAAAGCATATCTGAGCCATATCTGCCACAGAGTCGGCAAGTTGCATCCAATACCAGGCTTGGTAGGGACGTGATGAAGCGGAAAAAGTGTCAAAGCAAAGCCGCGAGCAAAACATCAAAAAGGTTGGAGAGCGATGGTTTTCCACGGGTTGTTAAAGGGGATTTGTCACTGACATGGGCACATGCTGTTGTAACTTGTTGACTGACTTGATGGGTCGCTTCGTCACCGTTCGTCACCGAGCTCGCCTTCTTCACAGGCATGCACTAGAGTCACTAGAACAAGTTTAGCCTGCGCGGAGACGGTGCGGTGAGTAAACAGAGTAGCTGCCGTGCATGAGGTTAGTTCAGCGTTGTGCTGTTATGTGCTGTTGCACTCGCAACATGCGCGCCCGGCCAACTCTTTAACTAATCACTGTCTCACAGTATACGCCAAGACTGGCAATGCAAATCTTTTCTGGCCGCTGCCGCAGCTAGCACAAAGACTCTCTGCCTGTGTTCTAGCAGTGCACGAATTTTGGCTTAGAAGCTGCCCGAGAGGAACTCATGGCCCTATCTGAACACATTCTAGTGCGACCAGCAACCGCCATGACCATGATGCTTGGAAGAGAAACGCACGCCAGGCACGCATGTGGTTTGCAACTCTACGCTCTGCACTATCCGGTGCAACACTTCACCACAAGAAGAGGTCAAACCTTTGATGGCCCGTGCCCGCAGGGCTGCAAATGAGTAGCATCAGCTGAACTACATACACATTCACAAAAAACCAACAATAACCAGCACTAGTACTCATGGCGCAAGTTCCTGTATCTTTCGGGCTGGCCATGGATCTGGCTAAGACAAGAGCTTGTGCGGCTAGGAAGGCCTCGCTTTCAAAGCTGGCCAAGATGTCATGCAGTTTGACGTCAAGTCTTGTTTAAATCGGACACACGTACACACCTCCTTTCCGTTTTCAGGGTGTGTTCTACTATGCCACGAGGCTCTTCAAACCACTTGTGGCAAATCGCAAATCTTGGAGCGCATCCGCAGCAAGCCTGTCCTAACGCAACATGCTTGTTGCGCCACTCATGCACTACCATACGCTTTTTGTGGAATGGCTTGTCCAGAAGGCCATGCTGGGAAGCGCGACACAACACAGATATCAAGCCGACTGCGAATTGCAAACATTTGTGGCGACAGGCCCTCCCATGTTGCAGACACAGCATGATGTAACACTGAACCGCCGCGCTTGAATTTGAATGAACGGGTTTTACCTATGCCACGCAGCCCGGAAGCTGCAATCTGGAAAAAACTCACTTCGACCCATCTGCATGGCACCCTGCATGAAATCGAAGCCCTGGAGTGCATATATGGTTCCGTCGTTACCCCCCCCCCCCCCCCATGGCATTCCCCCCCCCCCCCCCCCCACCACCCCCCCTAAACCCCTAAACCCTAAACCCTCAACCCAAACCCGAACCACACCACCCCACAGGGGGCCCAAACCACAGGGGGGGCGGGGACCCTAAACCCTAAACCCTTTTTAAGACTGCCAGGGCAGCATCCATCCATCCAGCTAAACCCTAAACCCTCAACCCAAACCCCAACCACACCACCCCACAGGGGGGCCCAAACCACAGGAGGGCGGGGCGGGGAAAGAATTGGGGGGGGGGGGGTCATGGGGGGGGGGGGACCATGGGGGGGGGGGGGGGGGGGGGGGGGCAGCGACGCTGCACCATATATAGATGCCGACTCGTGCGATTGACAAATACCGTTGGGACCACAAGCAAGATGTTTGAACTGCACTATCCCCACCTCGCATCTCATGCAGCTGGCGTGGGTCGAACGTGTTGAATTCTGTGTCGCCAGCGCTGGCATCTGATCAGCAGTGGCTGATGACCTCAACTTGAGGGCCTCCACAGGCTAAACAATCCATGCGGATGACTGCTCGGAAATTTGTTGTTGCCATCTGTTGACCCTTGCTTGCTTGTTTTTGCCTTTGTAAAATGCAGCACTTGCATACGTGCTGGATATCTCAAATACACTCCAAATTGACGTGGCTTTCGCTTTGGCGTTCGTATAGCGGGGCACCATTCGCGGCCGTATGTGCCTTCAGGCACGCCGCGCTGGTGCGACTTTGGCTGTGTTTTGTCCTCCAGGTTGATGCACAGTAGGCTCGGACACCTGCTTGTGGCCCGCGTGTTGACGTAGATCAGGAGTGGTTTGTTCAGAGATAAAGCTAAACTTCGAGCGAAGCGATGGGCTTTTGCTTGACTGGGTTTTAGTTTTGGTTTTGTGTTACTTGTTGCTGGGGGTTGGGCAACATACGAGAAACGTCTGTGCTCGAGCAACCATAGGCAGCAGCAATGTTAGTGTAGGCACTGCGTTTTGATGTAAAACCTCCGCAGCCAATTATTTTGCTTTGGCATAGCCGCATAGCCGGGGCGGTTGGGGGCAGCCCCCGCCCCGTTTGAAATGGCGTTCGAAGTGATCGGCAGCCCCAATTCTCTCGGTTGGCAGGAATTAAAATGGCTTTGGTTGGCTCACACTCACACAAGGCAAGCGGCAAGAAACTGGCAAGTTGGTATTTGGCGTTGGATTTGTAGGGGAGAAGTCCTGTCGGACCTGTCGAGTCGGGGAAGCTTTGCCAAGAACACAGCAGCAAACAACCACCAAGGAGTGAAACACACATCAAGAGGCAAACAAAGAGCAAACACGAAATAACAAGAGCCGGGAACAAACAGCAACTCAAGGAAGCGGAAGTTTGTCCGAAGCAAGAAGAAGAGAAAACAGCAGCCTTGAGCTGGCAAGACAGCAGCAAAGGAAGCGCCACTAACCAGGTCCTGAGCGGCAACAACGCTGCTCTCCCCTCGGAATCTCTGTTTGGAGGTGGCTCCATGTTTCGCTTGCTGTTCGTCATAATTCCCTAATGCATCCTAATGCCATCCCTGAATCTTGAAACCAATTCCCGCCTACGGAATGTCCTTCGTGCTAGTGTGGCTGTTTTCTCACCGGTCACCCTTTCATCAAGTCAAGTTGTTCTTGCACGACGTTATTCATTACCTTTTGGTTTTGTGTGTGCGCTTTTGTCTTCAACCTCCCCTACCCATCCCTTATTCATATTCATGCGGTTTCTTCAGCCCTTCTTCCTTTTTACCTTCCTGCTGGCTTGTCTTTGCTACGTTCTGTCTCTCTCTCTCTCTCTCCTTTCTCTTTTCTTTCTTTCTTTCTTTCGCTTCTCTCTCTCTGTCTCGCTTTCGCTCTCCATCTGCTATCAAAAGATGAAACAAACCGCCGTCCCTGCCTCAACAGGTAGAAGCTGAACAAAGAACGAACTGTCACGCAAGCCCACCCCCCAACCCCCCCCCCCCACCCATGCAAGTCATAATGCCTGGGGGGGTACAAGCTCAAACTCTGTCGCGTGGGCCTCGAACTCCGTGTCACTGGTCTCGCACCTTCTGCTCGTGATGTCCAGCCTTGAGTATTCACAAGACCGCGCGCTACTTTTGTGTTGCCGTAAGCTGGGCGCCTCCACAAGCCCCTGATGCAGGCGTGGTCGCAGTGATACCACCAACTCCCCACCTCACCCCTCCCCCCCCAACGGAACCCCCATTCTCATCTCCATGGCCCAAGAACCCCATTGCAGGAAAGCAATGACATCTGACCGACCGATCCGTGTAGCCAACCCGCGTCTTTTGTCTTGCCCAGACCACAGCCCCCAATAGACTCAATAGACTGGGGTCCGGGAATGAGGTGAACTCCACGCTGGTCTCATGAAGACTCCACAGCCGGCTGCCGGCTCGCAGAAAAGACACGTGCAACTCAGGACAGAAGCTGCCGCAAATCCGTACGCAAAGAGCCCAATATTGCTTAATAAAGAAATATTCCTTAAATCAGAAAGGGATCCTTAATATGATTTAAGGTATATTCCTTCATTAAGCAATATTGGGCTCTTTGGGTACTCTTTATTGTGCGGAAGCTGGCCGAAACCCAAATAGCTCAATATAGAGATGGGCAGGCATGACGAGGCTACGTTACATGCAAACACACACCCCTCCCCCCTACCCGGAAATTCCAGAATAAGCACAGACCCATTGCAAGCGTCGGCCCATTTGTAGCAACGCCCCCCCTCTCGCTCCCTAATAGTGTATGTTGTCCAAGGGTGGGGCCGAGCAGTACATGGCCTCGTGCAGCCTTGCCTCATCAAACCGACACGACTGATTGACAGCATGGCATAACATCCAGAGCACCTAGGAACATCTGTGAAAACCATGACGGCCTATGAACATCTCACGTCTCACAAAAGTCACGTGCAGCCAGGCAAGCGTGGCATTGTTTCATGGCATGTACAGAGATGAAGTTGGTCATTCAATATTGTGCAATCCGCGCCTGCAGTTCCTCTTTGGAGGTGTACGGTGGCAGGTACAGCCTTAGCTACGCATGGCCTTTTTCTGCTGCAAACTCCTGGGATGCTCGTCTTGCACTGTGCCCACACCCTGTAACCTTAAGCAATTAGGATAGCATATGGATAGCAAGCATCCTTTCTTAAGATTAACTTGAGTGCTTAACACATGGTTTTGAGGGGGGAGTGCAGGCAGAGCTAGGTGCAGAGCTGGTTGGCGCATGCACGTGAACGGGGGAAAGCTTGCCGCGAGGCCTCAGACGCGGAGTCAGCCGCGAGCAGGTATGGCCCATCAATGTCCATCCACATCCATCCACTTGAATTTCGCCTCCTAACACAAGTCATGGTACAACCTGATTGATAAGCCTCTGGCGCTGGTATCAGGGAAAACGTCGACGTGGAACTTTGCAATGCCGCCTGCGCGTGATTATCGGACTTCCCCCCAAGGTCCCGAGCATGAACATTTTCTGAGTTCCTCTATCTTTCTTATGGTTTTCGGACCGTGGATCCAAAGTCACTCTTCAGCATTTCGCAAGCACACACCATACTGCCATTTTACATATGTGTTATTATGTGTTACTGTATACATAGATCTTATAGTATGTAGTATAAAGGACACAATATATAGTATATAAGTACGAGTATGTAAAGAGAGAGAGAGAGAGAGAGAGAGAGAGAGAGAGAGTAGAACTCGGATACCAAGGAACCGGGACAGCAGTCATGTTGAATTATGTTTTCCTGGGGATCCTCTAGAAGGTCAAGTTTAGTGGCGACTGGTAGCGAAAGTCAACTTCTCCCGGTGTGGTAAGAGTATTTCGTGTGGCGCACCACCACGAGCAGGCTCAACTGTCGCGGGGGGCGGGGGGGGGGGTTGAAACCTTAAAAGAGTCCAACGCTAGTATGCATGCACGCTGCCCTATTCCTCAACATCTCACTGCACCTGAAGCCCTGGTAAGTTTCAATCCATGTTGTCGAGCGTCACACCTAGTCCGCTTCACGTGTGCGAAGTAACGTCAGGAACATGGATGCCAAGAGCACTGTTCTACGATTCTGCATGCCTGGCGGAAGGCGAGGGCACGATGAGACAAAGTCCAGAAATCTGGACCTGCCAGGCTTCAAGGGCAATCTTCCGGAAGGTCCCCCTTCGTGACCATAAATGCTGGCAGCACTTGGCTCTAGAAGCAGGTGTTGATCTGACTTCCATGATTTTGGCTATTGCCTCTTCATGCAGCTCATCACACAGATGGGAGAAGCGCGAGTAAAGGCCAGAGGACTAGACGTAGTCGGACCATGGAATCACGAATCACGAAATTCCAACGACGTCCATACATTCTTGTTGATGAGACGCTTGGAGAATTTCACCCAGTGACCTTCATGGAGAATTTCACCCAGTGACCTTCATGTAGAATCTCTTTGGTTCTACGTTGGGGCGCGTGGCCTCTAGTTCGGTGTGATTAGGCGGCCATGGAACATTCATGCGCCCTTTCCGGTCGTTCGTCAGTACGTTGGGATCTCCCAATGTAGCCGATGCACATTCAACGAATTCACTCGGAACTGGACTTGCTATATTCGCCACATCTTCTCGTTCTTTTGGTGCTCCGGTTGAGCCCAGGCTGGACCGCAGAATCCGAACCTAACGTAGCATTTGTTTCTTACACCCCTACGGTACAAACAGCTAACAACTGTCTAGTCAGCATTTCTTACATAAGCCTTGAGTATAACTTTCAAATCAACCTGCACATTCTCCTTCTCTTGAATATGCCGATTATGCATGTCCCTTCCCTTTCCATCTTTCTACTCTCACAGCTTCCCACAATGTCACGAGAGACATGGCGAACAGCAAGTCAGCCAGATCCTGGTGCCCCACCTGTCTGACTGGTTCAACTCCAACAAGACGGCCTCAGCTCATGGCAAAGACTGTTCATCTGCTCTCGTGTCCGGCCGGGGATTGCCAGAACCTGGCTAGATTGGTATCGAGATGAAATTTGATGCATTATTCCTAGACGCTATTCTGGCATAGATACGCATAGTTCTATCTGGTCCATGATGCTGTCGCCGCTCACTGAACTTAGTGACACCCCTTGTCCATGTCCGGCCACATCAAACCTGCTGTCTCTTCACAACCGCCTGGGGCCTCTGCCACAAGGAACCTGTAAGCGGGTGATTTGTCATTCAATCCGCCCGTTGGGTGGATGTGGTTGAGCCTGGCTGAAGAAAGAGAGTGTGTGTGTGATTCATGGCATTATGTTGTCCTTTGAACTGACACAGCAAGTGCCCACCTGCTCCCCAGCTTGAGAAATTAATTAAATGTCCACCCAGTGCCGAGGACAAATACAAACAGGCCAGCAAAGCAGCGCTTGCTCGTCCCATTCAATTCTATCTTCACCACCTCACAAAGCACGGTGGCACAAGTTTAAACCCTGCCGGACGTTTCGTGTGCTGAGGCATGAACAGAACATCTCTCGAAGTTCTGATCTTCCAAAAGCCTGAGTGTCAAAGCAGTTGTGCCAAAAGCGAGAGTGGACACATGACCATATGCTCGTGCCTGCAGACATGGAAAGGGGAACACATCGTTCAAACCGGAACGGAAGGCATCCACCTGGCAATGTGGGGATCAAGCCGGGGCTCGTGACTGGTGGACCTAGCATGCGCAAAGGGGGTGGGTCCTGAGACCATCTAAGCCAAGATTGGTTGAACACCCCAGTTCCAGCAGGTTCAGTTCTATAGCGAATGTTCATGTTCCCCGGGAATGTGCCAGCACTCGATCGTATGCCGACGACACGTCCAGACCTCATTCACATGTTCGGCGCTTCTGTTTGTTGTTGTCTGGCGGCATTCGACACAGGTCGTGCCTGTGTCGCGCCTGAGGATTTTCACTATTCTCCGGATGAGCTCGCAGGGGAGCGGTAGTGAATTGGGGCGCACAAGGTGTAGGTTGGAGAAGTCGTTTGCTTGATGCTGCTGGCGGTGGTGACCTCGCGCCCATTAGAGTGTTGGGTTGAAGCTCCAGGCCGTAGGCCATCGGTCTTAGGCTTTAGGACTTTAGGGGTTTAACGACTCAGAGGGCTCGGATGGCTGGGAGTTTCCACCTTCGCCCTCAAAGTCTGAAGCAGTGCTTGGGATTGGCCGCGAGGAGCAGCTAGGTCCAGAGTCCAGGGGGCATCAAGACAAGCAAGCCATGCAACACGCTAACATCAAGGCCAACAAGGCCTGATCCTTCACACCTGCATCAAACCAAAAGGAGGTGGCCTGCCACAGACACGGCACTGTGCTGCATGCATATTGCCTACTTGCCAAGCAGATTCCAAAACGTGAGATCTCCAGCCTGCTCCACGAAGGTAGCCACCTTATTTGGTATTAATTTGGGATATACTTGGAGCAAAAGAGCCTGGCATGTCAGGTTGAGGCAAACTAAGGGCCCCACATTGTCCGCTGTAACAAGGATGTTATCCCCATCTGGACACAGGGCTGCCCCACCTTGGTTGCATGGCCGCTGATCCCCAACATTTCTCAACTCAGCATGTCGTTCAAAAGATCGTCTGTTCTCCCGAGTGCTGCGCTGAGGCCAGTCTCCAAGAAGCAAACTCCGGCCAAACTGGTGTAGTCGTTGAACGACATAGGCCTCAAAAGCAGGCCGGCAAATACAAACACATACTGCCTGTTGAGTTATTGCTCGCTTCTTGTCTCGAGACATTTGCCTGATGCCATGCCCCGAGTGCGGTGCTCTTGTGTTGATGTCATATCCGCTCGGTCACTGGGTGTAAGGAAGCGCTCTGCGAAGTCTTTTCGGTCCGCCTTGCTTTGACCGTGCTTCAGCGAGTGAGGCACCAAGAAAGAGCTGAAGAAACTTGAAGGGAAACAAACTTGGAGAGAAGGTATCATGACAAGCATACCATGATGGCTGATGGCTGACGCAGACAAACAAACGAACCGTAAACCCCTCGATCCCGACCCCAACCCCGAACCTGAACCCATAGACCCTCAAGCCCCAAGCCAAGCGGTGACCCCCCCCCCCCCCAAACCCCCCCCTCCTAGCGAGTGCACGGACGGCGGCATGCTGACATGACACTGTGGGCCTGCGCGATCTTCCACTTCTGGATCTGCTCTGGAGAGCTGACAAGCTCTTTCTGCGTGGCCTCGCGCATTGCGCAACTTGCGCTTGACAGGTGTTCCATGCTGCCAAAACAAGAACGAACATCGCCGAAACCAAGCCTTGATACATCCAATAAAGTTCAGTTTCAATCAGTGTTCTCAGCACTTCTTGGCACTTCAAGCTTCTCTCTGCACACGGCACTGTAGAATTTTCGACAGCATGCAGACGATTGTGCATCTTCCAGTTCTTCGTCGACCGATCCTTTTAGGACGTGGTGAAGCAAGCTTTCAGGTACAACAGCGTCTCAACTCAAGGACGTCTGCTGTGACTCGTTTGCGTAGAATGAGAACAAAGGTGCTGCAATCCGCCCACTGATGCCGTGCTGACAAGACGGCCAACAGGTCATGCAGAGCATGGCCCGCCTACTGCAAACCTCCGAAGTAGCCTACAACCTCCGTCGAAGTACAGTCGCTTTTGACCCCACAGCCGTACATCACTGTTGAGGTGTTCCGAGCAACTCTCTGAGCATTTTCGGGCCACAAAGCATCGCAGTGGGACGTGGTGGGTTCGGCGGCTCATGAAGTATTACTCGTACTGTAACCCTGAAAGTGCCAGTCCAAGTGCTGCAGTCGAAGAGCCTCTCCAACTTTTAAGTCTTCCGCGAAGTCCGCCAGGGCACCAAGTAACCTGGAAAGTGCTCAATACTGCCTTGACTTGCCATGCCTTCACTGATGTGTCCGAGCAACTCTTTCCGGAACTCCTCTGGACTTCAAAATCCAAGGCTGCAGCTCACCAGCAACCCCGTCACCAGGTCGGGGCAAGCTGTCTGGTCCGAGCCTTGTTCATGCTTGCGACACCGTATCGGATTGTATCGTGAGGTGACAGCTCTCAGTCGACAAGTGATGCAAAAAGGACAGCGGTTCTTTCAGGACTCTTCGCCAGACTCGCCAGTTGCCTGCTGATCACTCCCCTTGCAATGCGAACCTTGCAAACACACATGACATCTTGCTACTCGCGTCAGGTTATACTATGGCAGAGCACCGATGCTACGCACAGTTGCTGAGGTGATGCGCGGCCATGTGAACTGAGCAGCCTAGTTCCCGTGCACATCGCTGCACTCTATGGCTCTATGGTTCCAGTGCCGAGCTCCTAGTTAAGGGATTCGGTGACCAATCTTGATCATGTTCCACCGTGCTCCTGTGTTCCTGTGTTGAGCTTTCCCCTTTTGTGGGAGATCTGTGCGGGCTCTCCTCGGTCCGCGGTGTCCCAAGACAAAGTTCCAGCATGCCCGGACTCTCAACATGTCCCGACACAAGACAAACAAACCCCAGCCCTAACTCCCCCCTTGCGGAAAAATGTAGGCCGGTGTAGGCCCCTCCTTCCAACACATTCACATACTCTTTGAACCTGCAAAGATACGACATCTTCTGAAGAGAAGTGATAAGATTTGTCAGGACATGTCAGGACTTGCGGTGGGTTAATTCTGCCTGGATAGTTGCACTTTGGCCCACTTCCTAAATGCTTAACAAGTCGAATCTCCTGCTTGGTTGCGCACTTCTCTCCAAGAACCAAGGCAAAAAACTCCTCCGCGAGAGGCAGGGGCACGATGAAGCCCTCCCGCCTGAAGAGCAAGTCAGTCCAAATATCCTCAAGAATCCGATTGTGCCTGCGGTGACAAGCTGCAGGTGGACTGGATTTGTGACTTCAGCTGAGCTTGTGGCAGAGCCTGGCCCATCCTTGGAGAGACTTACGTCGGATCGGAAGAAAAAGGGCGATCACGGACAAAATGCTAAAATGCCACAGTGCTTGCTAATGAAGTGGCGATGACGGCACGGCATGCTCACGAGTAGTCGTCGCATGATGTCGGGGGCATGCAATTCTGCACACCAGCGGCTCGACAGCTCAGCGAAGCTTCGAATTCATGTTGCCGTGATTCCACGTGAATCAATTGCTGCCCGCTCTTCGTCTGCGCTCTATGGGTTCTCAGAGGGACCCGAATGTCCAAGGTTGCAGTTTTCAAACAAACGTGTTGTTTGGAGGCTGCACAAAGTGGCCCCCGAGCAGTTAGTCTCAACTCTTTTGCTCGTATGCGCCGAGCCACTCATTGTTTCAGTCCCCGCGAATGCAGGGACCACCAGGTGGGCACTTTTCACCTGTTGGCCCTCACGTCATGTTAGTTCTCATGATTGGTCCACGCATGCGCATGGTGCGCATGTCTCACATCACCTAGTCAGGTTCACCGACATGATCTCCGCCCCGAAGATGTCTGCATTTTACAGATCCAATGGCATGTAGTACGCGCCGCATGCCTCCTTGGTGTTTTGCCTTCAGAAATGCGTTTCCCGGTTTTTTCGGCTCAGGGGGATAGTAAGGTCATTCGCGCAGGACACGCTGTCACAAGCATACGGCCATGCCTTTGACCGACATGCCCAACACACCAGCGTTTACAGTCAGTGTTCTTGCCTTTGCACGACATACTGCACAAGGATGTTTGACGTCTGGAACAAGACACACCATCACGAGCGTGCATGCCTTCAAAGCACCGGTATTTACCGCGTTTTTGCCTCTTTGTACAGTGTACTGTAGATGGTAGCCTCTTTAGAAGCCTCTGGCCCGCCGAGTTCCTTGGAGTGCCCACTGCAAAATCCCGCAGAGAGTCCTGCGAGTTTCCCTGGAGTGCCCACTCCCAGATGAAGCATCCCAAATTCCCTGTCCGAAAACGGCTAGACAGCCCTCGACAGCTTAGCTTAGCGACACGCAAAAATCAGTGTGAACTGCGCCGGTGCATGCCGGTGCATCTGTCTTCGAGGATTTTTACTGACATCGAGCAATGAAGCAATCAACCGGACTGGAACGGATAGCCTGGGTGCGTGAAGAGCCTCAAACAGCTAACTGAAGAAATTCAGATAGTTCTGAGCTCCAGTCAGCCGTCCTAAGAATCGGAAGCGCTCAACTGCCGCATCCCTCTGTGGCCTCGGAACTCACTCAGCAAAGGAACAAGGCCGGCAAGTGCAGCGCAACACCATCTCGCTCACATTCTTGACCGGCTATGTACACCATTCTCAGACACAGGCCCTGCAGTGAGCGGTTTCAGCAACAAGCCCTTCCGGCAGAGCCTCGGGATGCCATGCTCACTATCGGCCGATGAAAAGAAAGATGCTGCAACTGCTGATTCTCAGGACACGACAGGTGTTGCTGGCTTCCGCTTGAATCATCATCTTCAACCTCATGTGAGTCATGAACAAGCTTGCTCTGCAGTGGGCAGCTGGGTTGCGCCAGCTCGATCATGCACATTGGGCACCAAGCCCACATTGGAACAGCGGTATTGATGATTCGCTCTTGCAGAGCTTGCGCAACCTCCACCTGAACCAGGCGTGGCAGGCCACATGCTTCTGGCACAGCCCCCCGAAACGTGCAGCCAAGCCACGTAGAATGACTGGGTCACTGCCACACCGAAGCCTGTCTCGCCTTCAAATTGCACCTCCAAGAGCTTGCTGGCCTGTCAGCTTGCGTTTATGATTTTGCCTTGCTGCTACGTTTAAGCAGGCTCTGCGCGCGTTTGCCAGAAAGCCCATCGCGACGTCAGACTGTCGGAGAAACTCTTCACCCTTCTGCAATCGCACCTGGTGTGGTGACTAGTGGTTGGCCTTTGTCTGAAGCGCACTGTGAACTTGCCGTAGGGTGCTGACCAAAGTGCTTTGCAGAGTGCCGAGCCAAAAGTTGGACCTCGGGGATCTCCGGTGGATCTCATGGCTCGCCATCTTGTCAAGAGCTGGATGTGATGTGGAAATGGCAATGGGGGCGTTACCTCACCACATGCTCCTCAATGTTGGACCTGGCCATGGCAGCACGTGTATGTGGCCACTGGGTGATCTTCTTGTGGAGCAGAAGGCGTGAGAGATGAACATCAGTAGCAAACCGCCGTGAGTGAGGTCTGTTGTGGACACCAGACTGGCTGTTGATTCGGTTTGCTTGGTAGTCACACAAGACCCGAGTTGTCTTCTTACAGCAAGCCAGAGCAACAGGTGTAGAAGCAAGGGGCATCTTTGCGCAAGCTGCAAATGTGCTGATTCTTGCGTATGTTGTGCCCATAGTCATCGCACTTTCTTGGTGTTTGCACGGTGCAAGTGTCCTGAGGCGGTAGTTTATAGGAGTCTCATAGTGCGTGGAAGGTGGAAATCATTATGGGCACACTGGTGTAGGCTGTTAAGCGACAGAGCTCTTCCGGGAAAGAACAACGCATCTGTGGACACGTGTGGACATAGAACGCGCAGGGACATGATCGTGAGGAGCATGGAGGAGCGAGATGGCAGGAAGATGGACAACTAGTTAGGTCGGCAAGTTTACATGGACAAGGGATGACAAGGACCGAGTTGGAAAGACGCAAGAATGGCAAGAGGCCGAGATTCTTGTGTCGAACAGCAGGAGCGGTCGGATGGAGAGACACGTCTTGAACAGTCGATGATGCAGCCAAGTGCGGTAGAAGACGGGGGGCGATGTAAAGAGTTGCAGGACGTCTCGGTGCAGCAGAGTTGCAACTCTTGGGAGAGCTCCTGCATCTTTCTTGGATCGGTCTGCGCCTGGCGGCGAGGACCATGGACGAGCATGGGATAGCATGGGTGTCGATCTTTTGGAACTTAAGCTTGCGGCATTAAGCTCCGTCTGCACCGTGGCACGCCGCTTCAGAAAAGAGCCGACTTTGCTCTCCTGAACATCAAGGCCATTAAGGGTGGGACACCAACCAAAAGATTGCACGCTGGTTGCACATTGCTGCTTGACTCTTGCAGAAACACATAAAAGTTATGAACGTCCGGTCCTGCGTCCAATGCACAGCAAAGGATGGCCCGAAAGCAGTGTACTTCAGGAGCATCTTTCGAGTCTTCAGACCTGCGGCATCTGCTGCATGCTGCCGCTCTTCCCGGCATCAAATGGCAGGGTCCGAGTCTGAGAGCTCTGCTGAAAAGGAAAGGGCACAGCCGCGGCAGCGTTACCGCCCACATCGGCAATGTACCACTGATCACGCTCAGCCTTGCATGAGGCTGCAGGTCGTGCAGTGTTATTGTTACGCGGCTGTAGTTTCCGATGTGTGACATGATGCAGCTCGGCAGAATAGCAGAACAGCGTCTCAGTACCTGACGGATCTTCCAACTGGTACCTGCTCAATTGTAGTATGGTGGACTATGATTCATGAGGTCATGAGTGGCATCCATGGTCTGTGCAACATGGACAGGAGATGACAGAAGCCTGCCTTAGCTTCCTGTCAAGCTTGGAAGAAACCCAGCTTCCCATCTCCAAGCTGAGACCTCGGGACGCTAAGATGTGCTGAGGGCTCTTTCTGAAGGCTTGATCTCGTGCAGCGCAAGCTATGTCAGGCATTGAGGCACTTGCTGGGCGCATATGTGTGCATCATGCGCAGCCTTGGCCACTCAGCCCCTGATTCTACGAAACCTCGACAAAGTGGCAACCCGAACCAGCCCAGCTTCTTGCACCCGATTCATGTGGCAGCTCGAAAACTGACTGCGGTGGCCACAACATCTGCAACCCACAGGCAACAGGAGCATATACCACCCAAGCTATTGCCAGAAATCAAGGTCCTTACAGTTCAATGGCGTTGGTCACCGTGGTATTTCCGCCTTAGAGTCCGCATCCCCAACAAGGCTTAAACTCCCAACAGCTCCAGCTCATCCAGCCATGCCTCCCATGAGGCTGTGACCGCAGCGTTCAATCATCTGCTCCAGACTGAGCACTTGGCCTTCTAACAGCATCTTCGATGCCCATGTGAATGTCTCTATTGACCAGCTCACCAAACGCAAGCGACTCAAAAGGAAGTAACAAAGCATGGTCAAACAAGGTGTCAGACCATTCGGGGATCTTCTGCTTTCGTCTGAGTACCTCACACCGACGAAGACCTGTACCACTTCTGGCTACGAGGCATTGGGGTGACTTGTAGTCAGCATGCTCAAGTAGATTGGCACATCTCGCGCGCCACAGCATCTGTCCTTGCTGCACAGCAATGCTCGCAGAAACATCAGAAGCATGTCGATCACATCCCGAGCTGTGCTCCCACGGATAATAACCGTATCTTTGCAAGTTTTGACCGCCACATGCTAGCGGCAAGGTCTGGGCATGCGGCAGCTCTCCCACTGGCAACGTTCTGCGCCTTTTCTTTCCACTGCCCAAGGCCTCGAAAGACAAGCGAAAACTGGTGGCTGAGTCGGACCCCAAGGTTTCAACCAATCACAAGACTAGGCTTAAATATCGTGAAGGGCTGGTCATCGTCGTCGCGAAAGACATCGCACCACATTGCCGAGACGACCCATGCAGCATGGCCATTGTCACCACCTTTAGACCCTCGTTGCACGGCTTGTAGCTTAAAGCATCAGAATCAGGAGGGGCATGGCAGCTATAGACGTACTGCCGGGATCTCTGGTCATGAGGTCCCAGCAACTTCCTCTCCGCTCGGAGTTCGCCTGGCAGCCCAAGAGACCCAACTAATCTGTAGCACTGCTTTACTTCTCTGCCGGGCTGAACCTGGCCGTTGGGCTGCCATCCACCTGCACGTGGTAGTCGGGCAACAGCATCGAAACCAAAACTGGAGGCTCCGAAGGCCTTTAAGATCAAAGGCATGTAACATCTATTTCTAAAAGCTTTTTTTGCGACTTTCGTAAGGCATAGAGCAGCCAACGACAGGTGAGATTGCCATTACCGCTATACACGAAGCTGAGCAAGAACGTGGTATCCGCGAAGCCAAGCAATAATTTTCACTTTCTACAAAAGACAGACAGAAGTCCAAGTTTGTCAAACTTCATCCAACTTCAATGTTTTTGCCTGCGCCTCTGTGTTGCGCAATGATGGACCTGCGCCCAGCAAACAGCAACATCGCGTTCATGCACGCTCAGTGAACTCTTCATGAACCTTCTGTTGCACAAGACCCCGTCACGGTGCACCAGTACTAACTTCCTAGGTGAGGCAGTGCGCTTATGTGATGCTATGCGTGTACAGTTAAGCATGGACAGGCCCTTTTCCGCTGCGCATGCTGTGCACCGAGTTCGCCAAGGCCTAGCTGCGCTGATCTCCTACACAGGCTGTCAAAGCATGGGCTGAGCGTTGCCAGCCGCACGACCTTCATCGGGCTTCGGCCTGCCCGATTCGATGGGCCGAGTTGCTTGTCACCTGCAAAGTCGCCCTCGCCATGGACGCCTCCACAGTGCCCGTTGTCTCTGCCCTCAGGCTATGCCATGGCAGCATAGGCTGCTAGTGAGGTCGCAGCGTAGTTCACTTGAAATCATTCAACTTTCTGCATGTCTGTGTACTTGCTTGATGCTGCTACAAGCAGTTCTGCACTGCAGATATGGTGGAGCACTTGACCCAAGCTTCTTTGGAAGTCGAAGACTTCGAAGATTGTGCAAGGACAGAGAAGCGCGGCAATCTGATGCATCAAGCTGCTGGCTGCCTGGGCTGTCCAGCACGAGCCTCGCAGTCTGACAGAGCAAGGGCTGCTAGCACATTACAGCATTGGCACCGATATTGATTCGCTGGTTTTCGAGCCAGTTTTCATGTTGGCCCAACCGCAACATCGCAAGCTGTGCTTCATGTCATGAACTCCAAGGACCGAACTCGTACCCCAAGCACCAATTGTCCAACGGAACCTGCAGCGGCATGCGCAAGTGTGTTCCTTCCATGAGCAGCTGAACAACCAGGCTGCCGCATGAACATTCATCGGTACAAACTGATGACAGAAAACTCTCGAAGTTGAAGATCTTCTAGATGGGGCGGATTGAAACACATTGAAGGGCTGTAACCTGAACATGGCTGTTGAGCGCATACAACTTGGCGAGATCTCGCATTACTTCGAAGACTTCAGCCAAATCCGCCCAATGACTGGCATGGGAAAAAATCGTGGGCCACACGACAGACTCTACCGAAACATCATCAAGGAAGCCGTGATTGTGCCTTCTGCAACGGCTCCACAACAAAAGTGTGTTGCTCCTGGCGCGAAAATTCGAACCATGCAGTGCACGCCATCATCAGTAAGTTACTGCGCGTCAAAGATGGTGGTCGGAACAGCCCCGAGTCTTTGGCTTGGGCGCAGGCAGATGCCAGATTCTCGACACCTGACAATTGATAATTCTTGCCTGAGGACCTCGTTTACTACTGGAGGAGTGCCCTCGTTGGCGTCTGGCTACTTAAAAGCCGTGTAGCTGCTGTCGATCCTCTTCTCTCACAGGATTCGCAGGCCTTGCCTGACTGATCTTGTAGAAATTGCATCGCTTTCAGCAAGTTCCACGACCTGTAAAGCAGGAGAAGGAGGATTCTTGAGAGGCTGCCTTGGGCAGACTCTGGAACCTGACTGGTGAATTGCTATGATAAATACTGCCGAGAGCTGGGCCGTGGCAATGGAATGGACTTCAAATGAGCCTGGTCAGGCCGCAAACATGCTCCTTTTCAACGCATGTCTCCTTTGGAGCAATAGTCGCGCGTGTTGATTCAATTGTAGGCCACGTCTTGAGAAAGACAAAAAACTGATCCTCCGAATGCGTTAGTGAGATGGCAAGCGGCAAACGTACTGCGCGCCAGAAGTGCCAAGCCGCCCCAAGTAATTCGCAAGCCGCAGGCATGTATGTAGAGAGCTATGGCCGTCTTCTGATACAAAGTATTCTGACAGCCCCTCATGTCCTAGAACAAGAGGAAAGAGCTTTGACCTCGTCACTTTTCAGATCTCTGCAGAGAGACTGGAAGCCAGAAACGCCACGTAAATCCCAACCCTTCGTTCTCGTTTTGACGTTCGCCGGCAGTGATTTCCCCTGATTTCCCCTGTGCCAGGCAACCAGGCACTGGCAGGCTTCTCCTGCTCGCTGCACCCCATATCCTATGTAGGAGGGTTCTGATGTTCAATCCCTGCTCGGCGTGCTCTGTTTAATGCACGCAGGCTGGACGCCCTCGGGACATTGCAGGTCTGTTCTGCCTGAAGCGTAAGGTGCCGGCCCGGTTTGTGGATTCCTCGACAGTGTTACTGGAGGACTCTTCTCTGGGGAACCTTGGTCGGAGTTGTGATTTGCCAGAAGCCGCACGTATCGACACTTCACCAAGTTGCCAGCAAACAAAAGCGTGCCGAGAATTGTGGAGGCTGTGAACCTGCTGCAAGTGACACTGCGGACAACTTCTCGTGACACACGTGCTCCAATCAATTCCACTTCAATTCGAAGAGAAGCCAAGTACAACAACTAAACCATGGCATCTTTGCATACTACTTTGACTAGCTTGACCTCGTTCGGCATCCACTGGATCATCACCTGCAAGTGTCCGATGGAACTTCTATGCAAGAGCAAGTCGTAGACAGAATCCAGATCTGGCGATCTTGAGTCTGACACCTGTGTTCTGAGCAGCAGTGAGATCTGAAGCACCCAGCCGCTCAACAACAGGATGGTCCTCATAAGGAACCGGATCGCAAGAGCAAGTGGATAGCTGCATGACTGCTGCACGTAAAGCCCTTTTCAGATCAGCCCAGAATTTCCGAGTGCAAAGCAAGAGTAGATGTTGCATTTGCAGAATCTGCAGAACGCACGAAGGACGGGAATTCGCCGCGGAGTGGCTCACTTGCACCTGCGAAGCCACCCAATAACTTGAAAAGGCGTAGACAACAACCTCTCAATCAGTGCCACACGCCATGTACAGTAGAAATTCTGGCTTCGTGCTGAGCCTTTGTTGCCTGCCCTGCGGATTTGACAAGTCTCGACCTTGCATGCTCCATGCTGCGCAAGGCATACGAGTACCTGCTAAGCTTCTCTCCTCTTTCGGCATCTCTGGGCTGACTGCTGGTACCCGTAGATCACCACCACCGCCTGTCACGTCACCATGTGCTTGAATCAGGCAAGGCATGGCGCGGTGTTGCTTTAAGTTCTTTAAAGATTCTGAGGACAGAGCCCATGCGGATGCGCAGGCTGGCCATGGGGGCCGTGAACAAGTCATCGCCAGCTGAGTCTCCAGCTGGCCGCCTGAGGACGCAGCGTGCAGGTGACGAACTGCTTTTGAGAAACTTACATGACATTTCTGTTGGATTTCTGTTGGATGTCTTCCATTGCTCTCCCATATCTGAAGGCCTCAAACGGCTTGACTCAGACGGATCCAGAACCTCGGAGATGATCTGCTCCTCACAAATTCGCTCCACATGGTTGGGATAGTTGGGACAGTGTTTGGGCACGTTCCCAGGGCCTAAGACCCAGTGATCAATGCGGCAAAGGCCCTTGATCTTGGACAAAGCAGTGCGAAATCACAACTCAACAGCAGCATCTGCAGGACTGTAAACATCAATTTGTCAACCCATGTGTCCATGGCACGGAGCTGCTCCAGCATGCGCAGCTCTTCCTCCTAAGGGCATCAGGATGCTCGGACACACAGAGCTTGCAGTTATGAAGAGCTCTTCGTCACAAGAATTTCTGTCTCAGGTTCCCAAATTCACCTCTGTCCGGTAAGGGGTGCTGCACTGCGAGACATAAGGGCACTCTCGGGAGCCGTACCATGGATCCAGCTTCGCCGATGCCAAACTCCCGGTTTTCGCCATCACTTCCTGCTGTCGGGACTTCGATGCACTTCAGGTCTTCGAGATTTGGCAATCATGCTCATGCAACATGCCAAGCTTTCAGAACGGGATTGCTATAGGACTGAGACAATCCGCCCACGTCTCTGATAAGATCGGATTCGGGTTTGGTTGCATCCTCGGCTAGCCCCAAGACGTCCAGCTGCAAGGCCACTCTCGGCCTGTGGGTCATGTCATATCAAGCACATGGGTCACGTGGGTCATGTCATGTCATCGTCTACAGCACCATCTGCAATCCAATTGCACCTCGTGAGCTTCGAGTGGAGGAAGATCTTCATCATCCTCATCGCCATCGTCGCCGGGCCCTTCCTGGTTCAGGGGGCTCCACGTGAAGCCGCTTCTCTCCGGTTCCTTTCCCAATGCCGGCCTCATCAAAATCGTCGTCGCCAATGCCCTCCGAGCTGGGTGAAATCAAAATCCAGAGCTGTGTCTAAAACTATTTTGTGACAACAAGCACCGTTGAGCCATTCATGGTTCAAATGTCACAGCCTCATCCTCCATGAACTGCACCTCAATCGGAGATTCGTTTGCATGCTACGGTATTTTCCGCCTTTTCGAGCATCATGCCTAATGTCAAGAACTCTCAGTGCACTTTCTCTGGGAATGCTGCGACGTCCAAAGCACCACTGGTGGCGTCTACTTCGCTGAGTGAGCCTTCCCGAGATAGCATGCTCATTCCTCGGCGTCAGCACGCACAGACATGTCACGACGCACTTGCAGATTAAACTGTAAGCTTGGTCAACGACCACGTCGGACAGCACCTTAGCCCGGTGGCAAGTACTGGCAAGTGCTCCGTTAAACGGACAACCCAATGGATCTCAATCTCAGCCGAAGACCATCGATCGAGGGGGCAGAGGAAGCACGTGACCGATGCATCAAGGCCTTAGTCTTCTGGCGTGCTTCAATGTTTACTCGCCACAGCGAATCGCAGCCCAAACTGGATAATTCTCAAGGGGAATTCATGAAGAGCCTCGAGGGTCACACTTGTTTTTGAGCTTCGGGGGCGTGTATGTGTATTCCATCTTCATTGAGGGCGCCGCAGCAACTGCTGGTGCAGAGGTTGGGCGTGAAGATGTTGGCGTTCTCAGTACGGGGAATACGTCCACATGTGTGGCCGACAATGTGAAATTCTGTGACTGGCTCTCCAAGGGCACCACCTTTGTTCGCTCCCTGCAGCACCAGCCTTGGAAAAGATTCCCAATACGCCGGACTCAGAGCACTCACCCCACAACCTCACGATATACCCCACGTATCCCACATGCTATCCTCGAACTGCGAGCTGGAGAAACTTGCCTCGTCACCGCCATTCCCACTTCTTTCACCAGCACCTCAGTCTGAACATGTCCGGTGAAATACGTGCCTCCTGCAAGAATCTGTGCTATCTCCGAGTTGAAGAAGTTCGGCTTGTCATTGGCTTTCTAGCTACATGGGCTGAAGATGGCTACCGACCACATCACACGTGACAAAAGCTCAAAGCAGTGAACAAGACTTCATGTGTTTGCAAGCCTTCGTCGTGTGACTGTCCGGAAATAAGCTGGCTTACCATGTCATGTCCCCATCATCTGCCTCATTCTCAAATGCTCATCCTGCATACTGTATGCAAGAAGCCCTCGTGTATGCTCCGAGGAAATAGCCAGCCGTTCCGGAGGAGTTCTGCGCATGACGTTCGGCCTTGGGCACGGCAGGATGACGCAGGAAGAGAATGTCCGAGGCGGCACTTGCACTGGGCATGGTCGGCTGCAGTTTTGTCATCTAAACGGACTGGAACAATTTTGAAGAACAACTCTGAACCATTCTAACTTATAAACATGTATAACGAATCAAGGCCGTCTGGGTCCGAGGCTGAGATAAGGGATGCATACGATTCGAAGAACAGAAGAGATGAGCAGAACAGATTTAAGAAGGATGGAAGAGATTCAGAATCAAACTGAAAAAGCTTGGAGGGACTTCGAGGGATTTAGGTTTTTATCTTTCAGTGCCTAGACTCCACCGGGCCAAAACTCAGCCAACAATATAAGGCAACCCTCCGAAAAAAGTTGTCTTCATTGTCGACCTTGAACACGTGCTCCCACCACTGCACCTCCCCTTTAAGTACTACATGGCTGTTACGGTGCTGACCCATTCTTCTTGTCGCCGTCGGAGGTGTTCCCGGATGCGTACCAAGTCCGCCTTGTGAATGACGCAGCATCATTCGCCAACATGCGCAGGGTCCATTGACAAGACTTGTTGCCAGCCCAGCCTGAGAAAGTACCGCCTGGATGGGGGCACCGCCGGCACTTCCTGTGCCTCGAGATCAACGCCAGCCACCGCGCTCTCTCTCTCTCTCTCTCTCTCTCTCGTTCTTTCTACGTCTCATCGTTAATGATACTTCACTCGGTCATACGAGACCTGAAATTTACTGCTGATGCCATGCATGTGGAGCTGTGCCAATCAGGTTCAGGTCCCAAACCAAGGCCCGAACTGTCTCTTTTGCCAGGCCTCGGACAGAACTTTCACTTGTGACTGTTGACGGTTTGAGCACATGCCCTCTCATTGCGCACAAGGTGACCAGGGACGCAACGGAAGGCGAATACGTGCACGCGGCAGCTTGTCATGCAGCACCCCTTTGTCGTCAACCTCGGTCGATTCGGCATGCATGATGCATGAGATCATAATTACAACGCACGTGAGGCATTTTGGAGTGTCTTGCCTGTGCCACCTTGGAACCCTTGGAATGCACACTACCCATCGGGCAGCCCGCCAGGCTGAATCGCTCCCCGAGCTGCCCAACGACTGTGCCTTCCGCATGGGAAGGAAAAGGGAGGAAGTCGGGGTGTTGCGGATGGATGCAGCTCGCAATGCAGAAAGCGGCAGCCATCCTGGAATCCAGGTTTTGTCGCCGTTTGGAGTGAACTGGATACGGCTTGTGAGCCCAGATAGCGGCCTCATGAAGCATAAACAAGCACAAGGTCACAAGGCAAGTGAAATTAAGTACAGGTGCTAGCGCGTCTTGAGTCTGGAAACAGCTGAACCGAAGTTGCCAAGGTCCGAACTCATTTTGCTGGCTCTTTGCCTTCTCTTTCTGTGCTTCCTGACAGTCCACGTGAGGTGATGTGTTGTTACAAACGGCATCCTTCATTCACAAAAAAAAGCAGAGGACATACAATGTGCCTGGAGTGCTTGTTGATCAACTGTGACAGCCGTTTGAACCTCGGCATGTTGCGCATTGCCAGCAGCTCGCACAAAAAACAAACAGCCTCAACAGCAACCCAGCAAATCAACACGCACATCCGTCTTGGGCAAATGCCACGTGTCCAACGCGCGTTGCCAGGTTTTCTGCCTCCAGGCTGTAAGAATATCTTCCTGCTTCTACACCCGCAAATTTGCTCGCACAAGGATCACAAGATTGCCAGTTTCATGATTGGACAAAGCTGCACAGAAGTAGAGACAAAGAATCAAAGAGAAATATCTGCCCCACATGGAGAGGCATTCGGCTTTGCTTGGCTGCTGAGGCGCCTCCTGCTGGGTAAGCTTTTGCGCGATTGGTCCCATGCCATCGTTGGCAACACCGGCTTGGACCGCCTCCTCCTGCCAAAGCGCACGAGGAGAAAGACTTCGGGGATCTTCGGGGTAACTCTGCAGATTTCCGAAGCAACTTGGTAGACTCTTACTCTTTGCCTGCGCAGAAGCGCTAAGGTTTAAGGGCTTCAAATGGGCTCAACGGGCAGCGTGCCATTCCCGGCATGCCGCGTGGACACAGCTCCCGCACGGCGCCCACCTTCGAAACTTCTGTAACAAAAAGTGTCTTTTCGTGGCCTAAGGCAAAGCCATCTGCATTTCTCTCTCTCTCTCTCTGATTTCCACGTGTGCACCTCCCTTGTCTGTTCTACATTTCTCACGGAACTCGCGACATACAGCCACGGCTTTGATGGTCAAGCTACTGAGTAGCTACTGTCGAAACACCTCAATATACCTCAATCATTGTCGCTGTTCCGCGGACATGCAACTCCCGCGGCTCTCTTCGCATCATTGCCATTGCTATTCCTGCTGTTGCTTCCTCCTTTGGCATATCGCCATATCTGAAACCTTATCCTCGCACCACGTCGCTGCGGGACCATCATGGGGGAACTGCATGCATGCTGGGTTAAGAGATGTCGCAAATCACTCCTGCACATGGTTTGCTCGCTCTCGCGCTTTCTCAGTGTTTGTGGAACGGAATGTAGCCGGCAATCGTAAGTGACGGACAATGTCATCTTTGACCATGGGCCAAAAGAGTTCGAAGGGAATCTCATCGGAGACAGCCTGGACAGCTTGCCCCACATGCAAGAGGCACATGTTCCTGCATTTGCTACTGTTCGCAGCTTCTATACTATAGCGAGCTGGGCACAATGTTTAAGTCTATAAAGCATTTATGAACCGATGAGGTGCTGGCAATCATGACGGTGTGCACCTGAGACCCAGGCCACGAAAACCATGGCAACATGAGAACAGGTCGGCAGAACATTTGCTGTTGCAACACCCTCCACAGTCGATCTGTCGCGACATGAGTATCTCCCAAATATAGTGTCACAAAGCACGAAACCCGAATAAGTCTCGGACCCGCATTGAAGGATCCACAGCTTGCTCCTTTGCTTGTGCAAAAGTCTCGAAACAAGACTGTACACTCATGTGTTTAACTTCATATACTTCCTTCCACATTCAGGGTTCACGGATTCTCTGTGGGCTGTCACCCTGTAGCTGGGCTGTCAGACACCTGCAGCGTCACCACCTTCCGTGGTATCTCCAGCGATTGCCTTCTAGACTGCCGGTTGAAGCGCAAAGTAGAGTCACAGAGGCATCCGAAGCCAACTAGATAGACGAGGTGAAGCTGAACTAGGCTGTGTGCACAGCGGGTCTTCTCGGCACGGATGAGTTCCAGGACCTGCTGCTGCTGACGCTTCTTCACCGTCTTTTAAGTTTTAAGTTCTAGTTGCCCTCCTGCGTGGGACGTTGAGATGCCAGCTGCATGACCTCATCGGCCGCGAAACTGTACAGTGTCATACAAACAAACCACAGCAACATGCCAATGATGTCTTATATGTCATGTGTGCTGCATGGCAACAAGCTCGGTGCTTTCTTCTTGGCATCTTCGGACCTCGGCGGCTGCATTGATTGTAAGCATGATGCACTTCGCTTTGCCAGGCTGCGTGGCTTCTTCACGTCTCCCGACTCAGCTACACACGTGGTTGGAGCTTGCGCCTGCGCAGGTCTCGAAAAGCAACGCAGATGACCATGTTGTAAAAACCAGCAAATCAAGCTAAACGCGTGGAGGCGCAGCAGTTTGCTGTGTTTGGAACAAAGAAGAACGTGGACATTTGGTCTAAGTTGTATCTCAAGATGCTGTACTTTAATTCTATGTATGTATGATTTGCAGTCTAGATAAAGCATGGCAGACCTGTCAAAGAGGTCCCGGGCCAAACCTTGCAACGAACTATCGGCAAAACAAGCATCCCAGATCCTAGCCCTTCCTGAGTGTCGGAAAAAAGTAATGAAGCAAAACATCTGTAAATACAGCTCCCTCGAGTCCGTACGTACATTGAGAAATCAAGCAATACAGCCTCGGGGCAAAAAACAAACCAACGGAAGAAGCGATGGTCTGTCTAACAAACTAACACGGCCATTCGGTGCTGCTGCAGTAGAAGGCAAGATACGTATATGCGCACATACATGAGCATGCATATGTAATCTATGCGAGTCGGCAGCTTTCGGCGACAACTTTAAAGAACATGATGACATGCAAGCCTCCGTCTTCTCTTCCGAGCTTGTTTGAGCCTCGTGGTCACCGTCATGAGATCAACTACAAGTTGATTTGGCTGCTACCTAGATATAGCATGATCTCGCTACTACATCCTGTTTGTCGAAGTTCAACCCACGAGAGGTTCAAAAGCTGCAAGCCATGCACTGGTTGCGGCTGACACCTTGCCTCCGTTTCAGCCATCTGTTCGAGCGAGTCCTCAGCAAAATCGTTTTGCAGAAAAAGAAAGCAACAGATACTGCAAGGGCCTAAGGTGCAAATCCTGCAACCTCGGCTTGACCTGTTCGCTGAAGCGCCGGACGAGAGTGGCCACGAAATCTTCTGCTCGAGTCAACGCTTGAAGCTGGTTCAGAGCCTCGACACGCATATTATCAAATAACTTAAAGTCCACAGGACTTCGATACAAGCCAGGTACAACAGTCTCGGCGCCCTGCCACCTTCAACTCCAGGTCGGGGACGTCTTCGGAAATCGACATCACCGAGTAGCTACGGTTTGCCAGAAGCCAAGACCTGACAGCAGAATTCACAGGAGCCACCGGCCTTCCTGTGCATATGCAAGGAGATGTGCCCAAGACAGCCGTCGTGCACTTTTTAGCCCAAAATGCTGTCGTTTAATCCTTTGTTAATTCCTGCTTTCGTTCGATTTCAGGTTTCCAATTTCCAAATCTTTTGTGGGAGCCTACTAGCATCTTAAGACCATTCCTGATTGCACATGACTCTGGATGGGCAGGATAAGCACAGCCTCATTGTGAATTGTGTCGTTCCACTTGCGTGCTCGGCGTGGCCGAGTCTAGCTACTGAGCTGAGCTCGTCGCGTGCATGTTACTGTGTGGTATCGTTCGTCCTGTATCCTCTCAACCATGCAAGCTGCCTGTAAGTTCCCAGTACAGTACTCAAGCCGTCCCTGCACAACCCTCTCTGAGTGCAAGCGAGGTGCTGAGAGTTGTCCTCATCGTCGGCACGCACTGTGTGAACCTTGCCGAGATCTTGCAAACGGCCGTTAAGAACCAGGTGGCAAGTATAGTGCGCAGGTTAACGGTTAGATGTCAACCGCCACAGGGCTTGCTGAGCGCTTGCTGCCAACTCAGAAGATGAGCCAGTCAAGCTCACTCGGTCCCTAGCTGGGATGGGCAGCCCCAGGCTGAAAATTTCGAAGGCGACCACCTACAAGGGCGACCCAAACTCCCTCAACAGGTGTGTCACAGGGACACCACTGCCTGAGCACAATGACTTGCGATATGATTTTTGAAGCACCATGGTCATTTCCGAGGACGGGAGCCGAACATACTGGCCTCATAGATTTTGTCTTTTTGATGGTCCCATATCTTGTTTCCTGGTCTCACGGGACGCCACTTCTCAACCGCGCAGTCACGGACAGCAACCACCTAAGGCCACTGCCGATGAGGCGATGACAAAATTGGAGATATGCATCATCAATGCATGGCGTGACCTCATGTATGAACAACGAACTCGCTTTTGCCCAAGTACTTTATGTACTCGCATCAGTGTGTCATGCCAGATTCGCTGCCAAAGGGTTAGGGGGCTGAAAGCAAGCTGCAGCATGAGTTGAGACTGCAATTCCTGATGCTCTCAATCGCTAGATCCGCTAAATTCCCTACCAAAATGTTGCCAGCCTTGGTGAGAAAGTTCGAGAGATCTGCGAGCTGAACCAAAGGCTCAACTGCAACCTGGCCAGTTACGTCAGATACGTTTAACAGTTCTGCCTGCGCGATCGGACGGACTGTGTGGCTTCGACGCTCGCACTCGCACAAGGCAGGCAAGCATATTTGTTCGACACTGTGTGGAATCAGTATCTGGCGCTGAAACAACTGCAGCTTTGTTGCAAGCATGAAGGGGTTGCTGACAAAGCAGGCACTTGCTTCGGCAAATGCATCTCCAGCAAGGGACATCCGATGATGCCACCTCAAGGTCAGGCAAGTTCAACCCCGTTCCAACAAATCAAAAACTGTCAGGTCTGTCAGAAACTGTCCAGGGGCTGGGCTTGCCAAGTTCCGAAGCTTCAAAGACACCGGCCTCGGCTGCAACATGCTGCAACATGCAGTGGCATGCTGCAACTGCAGCCGCCCCATCGCCTAGGAGCCGCAGCTGGGATAAGCTGGGAAGCTTGCTCTGTCAGGGCCTTCAAACCACGATCCTTTTTGTGCCGCCAAACCTTGGAGCTAACGGCGGAACAGGCGCGGCTTTACAGTTTGCAGTTTATTCGCCTCGGCTTCCGGCCGAGAAGCGTTTGGAACAAGCAGACACGGATCCGGTCTAACCCAAGCCTTCGCCAAATTTTGTGACGCACACCCCCTGCCCTGTGGAACCCCCCCCCCCCCATGCTTGGAGGAGCTGCAAATCGATGCCGCGGGGAGTCCCGCCTGTCTGCGGCACCTTTCGAGAAGGCGCTCCAAAATGCACTGACTTGCTGTACCTACCCTCCTGCGTGTGACCTCCCTTGAAACCCCCCCCCCCCGACCCACCGTGAGACCCCCCTCCCCTTTTTTTGAGGCCCTCTTTCCTCCTTTCCTGTGGGCTGGCCCGGCTGCTGAGGCGGCGCACGCAAGCGTTTACAATTCGCCTTCTACGTTGCACTAGGCTTTGTTCTACGTTGTATGCTCGTTCAATTTCGTCAAGACGGACCTACATGGGACTCGAAGGCTGAATTCTTCAAGCTGATGGTCAAGTAAGCACCTCCTGCCACTCAACTGGCTGCATGTTCGCCCATGAGGTCACGCAGCGAGCTTCGAGCAATAAGGGGTGTGAAAAGACTGCATGCTGGGTGGGATCTGTACCCTGTTTGGAAGTCTACGTCCACTTGAAGCATGAGTAGCGCCTGGCGTACATACCGTAAGTTGTGAAGCATCACTCGGTCTCAGGCTGGCAAAGCCTCTCCCGTCTCGATCACGGCGTGCATTGCCTTCACGAAGAAGAGCGTCTTTTCAACACAAATGTACCAGCAACCAATCAGAACTGGGCGTTATCTCCGCGAATGGTACAAATGTAGTGGGGGAGCCGATGCAACATCAATCGTAGAGCATCCAAAACCCCGCACATCCTGGCTCAGCAACGGGAGGTTTTGTAGTGCTAGCCTTGGAGATCAGTAGAAAAATCTAATATATTCAACTATTGGTGGGTCACGTCGGACATCAAGAATGTTAAATAGATATTTAGAACCTGCAGGTAGCATTGGCAATCTTATTCGAGTATATGGATCACTCGATACCAGTATGTCACTATTGCATGATTTTTCAAAAGATGCCTTACGAGGTTTCGCAGTTTCACATACAAAAACACATCATGGTAAGGCACTGGCACCACTACAGCAGCATTGCTAGCACATACCAGCACAGAACAGTATTGCGCAATGGCCGCATCCCGAAGATGTCATCGCAGAATCGTGGCCACCAACCGCAGATTGGGCATCACATGACGTCAGTGGTCACAGGATCAAGGTGGAAAGCAGTTGCCGACAGCGACTAGTTGGCACCACTCGAAGGGCAAGGGACAGGAAAGGAGGGCCCATTAGAAAGATGTGACTGCTGGAACGCCACCGCAAGCACATCTATGCAACAAATAAGGCTAAGGCCACGCTTTTGGGCTAACATATACGAAGCAGGGATAAAGGTAACAACGTTCCCAGAAGGGAACAAGCACGGACAGCAACAAGTGGACAAAGAACCCCCACCCCACCACCCGCCGATCGCGGGGCTGAGCAATAAGATGTGCGCTCCATTGTGCTCCAGCAGAACGCCACCGAAAGCAAAAATGGACATCGACCGACCCAGCATGTGACCGCAGGGATGCAGCCTAGCGGCGGCGTTGAAGGAGTGCCCACCCATGGCGCTAGGGCTTAGCGCCATGGGTGGGCACTCCTTCAATGCCGCTGTGGTTCCGATAAGTAAAAGGAAGCTGCTTCCCGTCAGCAGCCGTGCGCTGCAGTGCTCACCAGGCCTTCATAAATCGTGTCAACCCCTTCTTGGATTGCTTCCTTGGCTGGCAGGCACGGGACTGTGACCCGGATCTTGTAGAGCTGCCGCAGCTACCCTTGAAATCTGCTCAGGGGCGAAAAATCACCGAACGCCTCAACGAAGAGCTTCCACCGCTCCTCGTTCACTGAGGACCTGTAGCAATCTGTAGCAGACAACTATCTGCAACGACTGTCGGCCCGGAAAAGTACATCTGGCGCAAGGAAAGAAACGCTCGGCTCGGAATTCCTGTTCATTTTTTCCAGCTGGTTGTTGATGTGCATCAGATGTGCATCAGCCTGCCTGCGGCCTGCCATGCTGCCATGATTCATGTCGATACACCAGGCTCTGCGAGAAAGTAACGAGTGAGCAGGAACCATTCTGCAACAGTGCAGGCCGGGGCGGGGCCACGGTCTTGCAAGGTAATTTACGTGTTCCAGCTCAACATCCCCCACTGAGACAGTAGTCCGCCATATTTCAATAGTATGAGGGTGATCGGTACGTGCTGGAACACTTGGCAGGTTGCCCACCGCAGATGTGACTAGCTTCCATGTACCGGCTGTGCTACGCCGCCTGTACTTTCGAGGCATCTCCATCCTGCTTTACATCAGCTGTCTGCCGTGCAGTGGCTCCAGCGTTCTTTGGAGATACAGTCGACCGCTGTACAAGGCTGCTTTCCGAGCAGACGTTAGGCTTGGGGCAGCTTTTGCGGCACCTTGCACTACCAATTCTCCAAACATGAAAGCAGAGACGTAATAAGAGACGCAAAAACTTTAAATTCACAGGTACGTAGCGGCAGCATCTGCATGGCAGCTGCGTTGCTGCCTCTGGGTCATTCCAAAACAGCGGCCATTGGCAGACCTCACATCCTCAATAATCCTGTGTCGTCATGCGCCTGAGGACAAGACGAAACTCGCCCAACGCAGTGCACGTTGGAGCAAAAACTCGCTCGTGTTTTGCTGTGCCTTCTGGGAGCCTGCTCCGCGAGGCAGCCTGCGAGTTGCCAGCAGCATGTTCAAGCAGCTTGCCACTAAACAGCCACTGGCTGAATCAGCCTGTGCCGCAACCCCAGCAATTCAGGGCATGACGAGGCCACCTAGAACCCTGGAAATTGCAGTCCGAAAGGGCCGTCACTATCTCGCTGCAGCTGGGATTCCGCTCCTCTCGCTGCGCTGTGAGCAGTGTAGGCAGTGGATGCGGGCTTTCCATGCTCTGCTCTCGGTATGTGGCGATGTTGGCGCCGATGTTCATTGCAAAATGACCTTGAGAGAAAAATACTGATTTGCTTTAGAACTTTAGATGCTGACCCCATTGACTTCCATCCGCATCCCAACTTCGGCAAAATGCGTCAATCTATGTGCCCTACGATGAGAGCACACTGTTGTGCTGTGCCTCGGCCTTGATGCAACAAAGACGCTGGCAGTGGGAGTAGACCCCCGCCTTCCTTCTGGCAAAACATCAGAAAAATCTTGGCAGGCTCTGCATTGCCTTTGTGCCACAGGCTGTGCAGACTCTTGTTGGCAGCCTTCAGGGCATCAGGGCATGAGGCTAAGTCGCAACTGGGTCAGACAAACTGCAAGATGGGTGTGAAATCTTGCAGGCCTTGGTTGCAAGTCGTGTGCTGATCGACACGTTCCAGAAGCTCAGATAATGCCGCAACGTTGGCCAGAGTTTCCTGAAGTACCGCGCCACAGTGGCTGACATTTCGAGGTGTGCTTCGGCGCTCAAGCCTAGTGGCCAAAGCTTGATCTTCTGGCTGCATGGGGCTCACGCACCAAGTGAAAGCTAAACTTGAAAACCGAAATCGCCGAGCTGCATTGGCAGCATGCAGAACTTCTTCCATGCCAACTGGCTCCTCCTTCGAACCAACTACGGATCGAACATGCTCGTAAGTACTTGTAGACTTTCAGCGTGACCTCAAGCCCTCAGTCCCTCCATGGGCGGAAACGAGCTGCGGCTCATAACTTACTTTCTCTACTCGGCAGGACTCTGATCTGCAGCCATACAAAAAAAGCTACCCATCGTTGCTGCGGTTGCTGTGCCATCGTGGTGCCCAAGGCAGGCTGCGCAGGATGTAATGATTTCCAGCCAGCAGCCTTATCGACTACAACAACCCCTCTGTGTCCTGCTGCCTTCTGTAGTTCACCAGGGCGTGGACGAGGATCCTCCATATACAGCGGCGAAAATGGGCTGCGAATGGCATTGCGCATGGCATCACCAGATCTGGTCTGACTACCACACAGTCGCATACAAACTGACCGCATGCCTTTACACGCAACAGGGGGTGCTGCTCCTCTCTGCTTGATCGGATTTGAGGCCAATGCCCCACTTCATCAAGTCCTAGATGCAATTCCGGCAAGAAGGGAAGACTGACAAGCAAATCCGATTCACAACTTTGTGGTCATGTACGAGCGCGGCTTTCCATGCACTTGAAAAAGAAAGCAGCATGACGCCTCAACACTCCTTGTGGAAAATGCAAAAAGGATTCGCATGGATTCGACTCAGCACAAGAAGGATGGAAGCCGGGCCGAACGTAACGGTTCCAATGATTCCAATGCATCAACCCGGAATCCTGTCAACTTTCGAAGCGCCCTGAACAGTGGTAATGGAGAGTTCCTGTGCCGTGACGATCTCCTCACTCTCAAATATCTGCGGCCCCTTCTGCTTCTCCTAAGCATATGGCAGCTTTGTAATTTAAGACAACTGGAAGCAACATTCAGTGGTAGTTATGTTTGCTCTTTACCTCTATGTGCTAAGTCAGGCTGCCATCATCTTGAGCAGCTTGTGCAGTGAAACTTCGCGGCCCTTGAACACTTCCCAGTTGCGCACGGCCACCTCCCAGAGTGACGTCCACAAAGGTTCACTCCTGGAAACTTCCAAGAACTTCAAGAAATTCTGCCAAAGTTACAGGACATGAATGCCTTGAGCCAGCAGCTGCGGCTTAGTCTGCTTACTCAATGCGGATGCTCCTCGTGGCACAACTCTTTGTGCATGCATAGATATCCATCATGATGGCGATGAGCATGTTGAGCATCAGCAGAAGGCCGACCTACAGCAATGTTCACTTGCCAAGAATCAGCCCCCACGTCTTGATTGATTCAATCTTTCCGGCAGGGGGGCGAAAAAAAACATACTTGCAGAGGGTTTGGGTTTTACAGGGGAAGTCCCGCTTTCAAAAAGTTCTGGCCTTTTTTGAGCCTGTCCTGGGGCAAGTCTCTTCCGGCCTCTTCTGGGCCTCTTCCGGGCCTCGTTTAGGATTTAGGACCAAAATGGGGGGCACCCCAGGGTTTCGCGAAGAGTGGTTTTGATGTCAGAAATGACCCTCGCACTTGAATCGGTTTGGACTTTGGACAGCTCTCTTCGCCATAGTCTTTCTCTGGGAATTTGGTTTTGTTAATCGAATGGGGGGGACTATTAAATTGCGGGTGGGGGGGTGGGGGTTGAAGGCAACTCAGCACTAGAAAAAAGGAGCGTGTGACATGGCGTGCCTCTGTAGTAAGTAGTGTGTACAGATTTGGGCCGACATTGGCTCTGCAGCACCAAGCTCGGGACGAACTGGAAGGCTCCGAAGAAAAGGAGCGCGACAGGGCGTCCCAAGCTGTCCTGATAAAGTCGCAACGCACAAATCATCAGAACTTTCGAGTCCTCCGCCTCCTCCAGAATCCTACCCCAGGAGAAAATAGTTCAGCGCACCAACACCCCAAAGTTAAGCCCGAAGCCTTGAGCGCCGTCCGCATCTTGTGCCAAGTGGCGATGGATGTCCACTGCACTTCGCCCATCAGAGCGAAGAATAAGACGCTGGCTGCCCGGTCCAAGGTGGAGAACTTCACCTCGTCTTCTCCAAAGAAGGCCGTACCCATCACCTTAGCAGCGGCCAAACAAAAAATGACTTGTTGTAACATTCCATGAGCTTCGACGGTTCAAGTTGCTTCTAAATCCTATGTCAGGCCGCTCCGTTCGTAGAGCAGAATACTGTGCTGTTCTAGTATCGCCAAGTTCGCTAAGCAACTTCGGCATGTCAAATCGGTCCGTCCAAGACAGATTCATGTCGTATGTTTGAGGTTGCGGAGCAGCTGTCCAGTTCAATTGCAATCAGGCTGCCGCAAATGCTGCAAAGACGGACAAGAACACCTTTGGTGCTTGTAGCAAGTCAAGCGCAACGCGCAGCCGGTCGTAACGAGTCATTGCCACATGGGTTCAGTTCCACTGTAACAACTTATGGCAGGAAACATCACGATGATTGTGAACCTTTCCCGAAGTAGCTTATTGACTGCTCAGCGTCCAATCCAAAGTGGAATAAATCCACGGCAGCTGCTGACAGTGTGCGTGTCAAAACAGCAAGGCGAGGCTGCCTTAGCTAAGGTTTGGATCACCTGTGTGAAGCTGCTGGCGCTATCGGCTGATTACCTGCCAAGTTGCGCGCTGAAAGCTTTGAGCATCCTCAATATCACTATGGCCTTGTGCGGCCGCACAGTTCGTCAAACCGACGAAAGAAGCGAACGCCACAAGAAAGTGCAATCGGGAGGCGGGGTAGATTCCTCTCAGAAGCCGGCCTTCGAGAATGTCACGTTTGGTAAGGACTCTACAGTACTTGTGGCGGATCTGTCACGCATCAGGCTGCGAGCAGACATGTCACACCATTGCCGTGAGCAGGTACACATCAGCGGTGGAAAGTAAGTCATTCCCAAGTAGGAGGAGTTAAAGCAGGTAACGGCATGGACGAACCTGTCGGATTTGCAGTGGATGCCCTTTTTTGTCGAGGAGCAGTTCCGTGCAAGGATGCCCAAAAATTCAACATGTTGGAGCAAGTCCTGCAGACATGCTGTTTGCAGTTTTCATCCTACAAGCATCCAGACATTCCCTCAAGCTGGTAGTGAGTTGATTCACCTCATTCACTGGATGCCAAAATCTTCGCACAGTGCGGAATTGTGGTGCGAGAATTGGCTCCTCGCCAGCTCTGTCAGCACACAGCTCCGCCTGAGAGTCCTGCAATGTGTACGATGCTGTACTACAACGATTGCACGTCCACGAGTTCTTTCTGACCCTGCTCCTGGTAGCAGCTTGTCACGGTCCGAGGGTAGGCCTGCGCAGGAAACTCCAACTGCCGTCGCACATTTGCAGCTCAACGGCTCAACGGGCTCAACCGCCATACATCT